GTACCACCAGATAGTCGGTATGACCGTTCCCAGGTGCCATAGACTATGAGCGTCCACCATTCCTCCTAACGGAGCAAAATCCAACAATTCCAAGCTCATGGCCATAATAATCCACGCAACGATCATGCCAGGCCATGCTGCCCACGGCTTCTTCAATTCTTGATACGTCTTGTAGCTAAATCCGCTCCACAGAATGTTTTGCACCACCCCCACCGCGACATTAGCTGCCATGTTGTACACATAGTCCCAATGCCAAAATGTCAGGTAGGAGACATGCGCCGTATACAACGCTGCGCACACGAAGGTCCATAATCTTAGCAATGCTGGCTTGACGGCAGGCTCGGCTTCGTCTAGTCTGAATATCCTGATAGGCGTGTAGTACAATCCGTAAAGGACGCTCGCCCCTGCAGCAAAGTAGTCCAATTTTTCTGTGATATCAAAGTCTCGTGTATGAAAGATCATGCTGCATACCCAGCTTGCCATACCGACATAGCTGAAGGCGATGTAGTAGATCTGCAAAGGATAATCGGATGGGATCCTATCCCGGATCTTCGCAAGGCCATTCCGATGTGCCAGGAAATTGAAGAAGGAGAAGAGGACCGAACAAGGTTCTTGTATGCCCAGAAAGCGAAAGAAGGGCCATTTGCCATGGTACTGGAGGACAGGCTTTAGCATTGGAGGGTCTCTAGAGACACGACGGTCTGTGATGATATGCTGGCAGACATAGTCGCAATTGGATGGGCACGTCCAGAAGAATAGGCGCAGATGTAGCGCTGAGAAAAGTTGATCAGTACTGCTATCTTGCTGAATTGGCGCGATGCTTACGAAGGACAGAGTTACCGCGCTGGCAGTTCTCATCGACACAAGTCTGGATCTGTGAGCAATCGACTCTGTCATGCATTGGCTCCACATACTGATATACATTCGCGAAAGTCCGGTAGCCGGTCCCCAAGGGACGCAGAGGCAAAGGCAGGGAAGAGTAACAGAAACCAGAAGCATATGAGTCGCACCCCCAATGCGAATTGTCGTGTTCTCATTATTTCTGTGTGTGTGCACTACAAAAAAAAAGAGTTGAAGAAAGAGCACGCGATTGGATCGAGTCGAAATCCGCTAACGATCGAGCTTACTCTACAAGTACCTTAAAGCTCGAGGACTCCTTCGGAAGTCTTGGTATTCATTTTCCCCCTAAGAAATGATGATAACAGCGTTAGCAGGCTTCTGGAGGTTGACATGGTTACCACACTGACGACGATATTCGGTGTCGTGAAAACATTTTGATCGAAACACTTCTACATATCGATGGCCAGATCTTTAACCCTACCAATGTCAACAAACTAGAATTGTCTGACAGCTTGCTCTGCCACTAGAGTAACCCAGCGCTTTTCAACGCCGAATTTTGGAATTCTCCACGACGTGGCGCCTATCTCTGACTCTCTCACGGTTCCTGGCCTTGTTCCCTGTCTCAAAAACGTAAAAAGGCACAGTGCTCAAAATTCTTGTTAATAGTCTCTGCCCGTCTGCATCCTTGATTTTACCTTTTTTTCGTAGTTACCTTTTTTTTTTCTTTTGTTTTTTTTTCTCCGCGGCGTTCTCTTTCCTCGGCTTGCCTCGTTGAAAGACTGTGGAAAGCCAATCATCATGAAAAAGCGAGAATTCAGCATCACGATGAAAATTACAGATTATGTGTTTGTGAGTGTACATTTGAATTCGTTCATATGTTGTTATCACAATCAATAGAATCTCTATCTCTACAATACCCCCTATTCTTCTTATCCGTTTCAAAAACGACTTGACCCCCCATACCTATCCTCTCGCTCACTCCTTCTACCTTCACATCAAATGAGGTTCCTACGGCCCATAAGCTCCCGCTAAATGCGTCAATCCTTGCACTGCATCCGCCAACATCCTTCAAACGGTCTCCAAGCCAGGTTTCGACAGCAAGTGCAGAAGGGATAACGGCCGGCCATAAACTCTCTCCACCTTGCCGCATGCGTACAGAGGGCCCGATGAGCTCCGATTGCGGATGTGAGCGGGCGTCCGTGCGCGTTTCACGCATGCATTCGAAAATGAGTGATTCGTTGCGGCTGGGGGAAGCGGACGTAATGTGTGAATACGATGGAGACGAACTTTTTCAGCAATGGGGTCGAGGTAAGAGGTTAGTAGGGGTTCCGAGGCTGGCAGGGAGGGTAACTATTGAGGATGCATTGGTAGTGGAATAGGGACGGTTAACGGGATTATGATTTACTCGAGATCATCGGGCTGCTCTGTGGTCGGAAAGGGAGAAGATGATACAATCATGAGAGGGTCTGCTGCGAAAGCACAGCTGTCTAGATAGCTTAGAATGGCAAAATAAGAGATAAGGAGCACATGGGTCTTGGTATATTGGTCAGAAATTGGGAAAATACAACCCCAATGGAACGTTGCCAAGAGTTTCATGCCTATACCATCTCTAAAACTCTGTTGCTTTATCGCCTTTTTCATCTCAACGCTTCTTTCTTTCCCCCAGGCAACATGCGTGCCGCTGATGATTTGAAGAACGATGACCGCGAAACATTGTGTGAAGGAGGTATGCTGACCGCAAAGGAGGAAGAAGACTTAACCCAAAGCTTCCTCCGTAGCTGTTATGAGAGAAAACTTAGGCACAATTGAGAGGTGGTCGTATAAATTGTGTTTCGCAATTCGTAATAGTAGCTGAAAGAAGAGGGGAAAGCAAAAAAAGCAAAAAAAATATATCGTATACGATATTGGCTAAATCACAATCAGAACAAGAAATATAAGATGATATCTTGAGAACTCACAGAAGCGGGGGATCGAACCCCGGGCCTTCCGCAGGCGAACTCTTGATAAGTGCAACTACGAAGAAATTAGAATCCGAAGACGATAGCAGCAGATAATGGAGTAGCCTACAGCGGACGCTCTACCACTGAGCCACATCCCCTACTGAAGATCAAGAGTTAGCTCCTAATGCAATATTGATACCTACTGGGTGTCATGGCAAACCTTAGTGCTGCAAACCTGCAGTCTCGCCAGTCACCCTAAGGCTCAATTGAGTAAAGCACTCCGAGTGGATTTGGCGGATACATCACTGGACCCCTGGTTAATGCCAAGAAATATTCGCGTCGGGCCGAGATTTAGCTTGCGAATAATTGAACGAAAATCAACAAGTCAAGCTTCCTACAGAGATTGTGTAAATACAGTTTCCTTGGCTAGAAACGTCGCTCAAGTTGGAGCATGCAGTGAAATTCGGTACATTCACCCTCACAACATGTCTCAGGGGTCCAGTGTCATGCCTGCATCGACGCAGGCAGATGATAAAATGGCTGGTATGGATCATGCAGAGGTTCATTACTTCAATAGGTACTGAGCTTTCCACGTATGAGGTAACTCATCCTGACCGCTGTTAGTTACAATCACCATGGTACTTATCGGGCTCGTCCTTAGGCTTGAAGAGCATGCACTGACAGCTCTGTTCCCCACATTTAAGGCATACATGAAGAAATGTTGGTACGCAGGTCCTCAAATTGACCCAGATTGCTGTGAGGTATTCTGCTGACGCTATGCGGTATATCAAGAAAGATGAAGTCCGAACCAAGTCATACCAGAATGCGATCTACCAGAACAAACACCTCTTCAAAGACAAAGTCGTCTTAGACGTAGGATGTGGTACAGGGATTCTCAGCATGTTTGTGCCCATTACCTCCCTCCTGCAAATCGCCTGGAGATTCACATTGACCTGTCAGGTTTGCGGTCAAAGCTGGCGCGAAACATGTCATCGGAGTAGACATGTCCACGATCATCGAAAAGGCACGAGAGATCGTTGAAGCAAACGGGATGACATCGAAGATATCGTTACTACAGGGAAAGATGGAGGAAGTGCAACTGCCTTTTTCAAAGGTCGACATAATCCTTTCTGAATGGATGGGCTACTTTTTGCTTTACGAGAGTATGCTTGATACCGTCCTCTACGCTCGGGATACTTATCTCGTACCTGGAGGCCTGATCTTCCCCGACAAAGCAACTATTTTCATGGCTGGTATTGAGGATGGCGAGTACAAAGACGAGAAGATTGGATGTGCGTTGACTGGGAAAATTTGAATAAGGGTTCAGTGCTAAGCTGCGCATAGTCTGGGACAATGTCTACGGCTTCGACTACACGCCTTTGAAGGACACAGCCTTGACGGAACCACTGGTGGACACGGTAGAAGTCAAAGCCTGCGTGACCGACCCCTCGAGGGTGTTCTCAATCGATCTTTACACCGTTACCGCCGCTGATCTTGCATTCCAAGCCCCGTACGTTCTGAACGTTAGGAGGGTCGACTTCATACACGCCTTAATCGCTTGGTTTGACATCGAGTTCACCGCATGTCATAAGCCAATCTCGTTTTCCACTGGTCCTCACAGCAAGTACACTCACTGGAAGCAAACTGTCTTCTATCTGCGAGATGTTTTGAGAGTCGAGGAGAACGAACAAGTAACAGGCCTCTTGACAAGCAAACCGAACGAGAAGAAGAAGAGGGATCTTGACATCACGATCTCTTACGAGCTTCAGACAGACGATGAGAGCAGGTTTGCCGAAGGAAATCTTGATTACAAGATGTAAGGACACTTCCTGAACATCAGACGGGCTCTTTACTGATATTGTGCAGGTGCTGATGATCTGAGTAACTGATCACTAAGGCACTCTCGAGGATGGATAAATGGCCGTGTTCGTCATTTTGATGCAAGCCTGCATAGCGATTTTCATAGAGGAATGACAAGCTGCAAAAATTGAATTGAGATGATGTGCGGAAGAAGGGTTTTGGTCAGACCACTTTGACGGCCATCAAAGGCGTCTTCATCTACAGTGCCAACAGAAGCTATCATCGATGACCGTTAGTAATCCAAAGCCCAGTGGATAGATATATGTGGTTAACAGAGGGCCAGCAGCGACATACCCACAAAGTCCGCTACGCCGAATTGTTGCGGGCAACTCGATGATCTTACACCGACCATGCCGATACTCATACCTTCTCATTTGTACTAATCTCGTCCGTTGTGTTATCCTCTCCTGAACGCAATCGATCTCGAACTCTCATCAGTGCTTTACCGAGTAGATTCTCTCCCCAATTACCCTCGTTCGCCGCCGCATTCGCAGCGCTGTAGCCCACTCCCCAAATTTTATCGTACGGTGACGCCTCCACCAACAACCTGTCGCCTGTCTCCAACAGCATCTTCCTCGGATCACCTTCTTTTGACTGGGTGAATTTCCACCAATTTCCTTCTTCGACAACCTTCTCTCGCTTCGCATTCCATTTCTTGCCGTCAAACCCTTTTACCTCCCTTCCCAGGGCCCTTTGCTTGCTTGGTTCTGGCTCGAGCGCAATCTCGTCGGCTACATCTTGATTATCGAATAAGATGGCCTTGTGATACATCCTGGCTTACAATTCCATAGTCAGTATTGCCTACGACAGTTTCTGAGGGGCACATCAAGCCTTGAAACATGTTTGGAAGCTAAGGACTCCTGAGACAAGTCTAATCGACGGGAAAGATACGTACATGTATTGCTCAGCGGTGACGAACGTCATTGGTAGGGTGCCGGTGGAGGAAGGTGCGGTGAAGGCCGACGGGTACCATTGGGAGAGGAAGCCATAGGGGCTCTCAAATTCGCGCCACTAGTAGTTCTCGGGCTCAGCGTGTCATACCCAAGACTACAAAGGAGTCGTAAGACTCGACACATAGTATCAAGTAGGATAAGAAGGATTGGAGAGGTAGCTTACGAAGAAGACGGGCCCGCCAGTGGAGGAGATGGTAGAAGATGCCATGTTGTTCAATGGCACGGATAATCTGATTGAATGGGTTTTTCCAAGTCAAATGGCATTGGACTGTCGAATCATGCAGGAGGAGAAGTTGTATTAATACGAAGATGAGAAAGTGGTGTTCAAGGAGAAAGTGTTTGAAGAGGAAGGAAATGGTGTATCAGAAAGCTACGAGTTCCTGCTCATAAGGAGTCATTGAGAAGCTTTCAAATGGAGTCAACCCAGAGATTCGCTCACATTTTTACGGACTCATATCGAAGAAGACTTAGCTCGGCTGAAAAGAGAAGCCTCTTATGCAACGTACAATTAGATGTAATGTTTCGAGGGTCAAGCGGAGAATAGTCCGGCACCACAAATGCCTCGGCTGCGGGGAAAACTCTTCATCCCCGCAAAGTCGTTCCTTCAAGACTGCGCGTCCGAGGGGTCCTCATGACTTTGCTCCATCGCTTCTAAGGCTTCTCATTCTAGCCAAAGCTGAATTTCTGAGATCCCAGGATAGAGGCTTTGCTTTGTACATAGACAGTCCAGTATGAGTGGCCCCGGCGTAGGTTTCGAATATCCTTCCCAGGAAGTTTCCTGGCTGAAGCGGTACGTTTTTAAGGCTCTGTCGAAGGACAGCGAGAGCAGCTGACAATTAGCAGAGATGTCTTGTTGTTTGCAAATAGCATCGGCTGTACGGCAGATGAGCTTCAGTTCCTCTATGCATGTCTCGACAAGTGCCACCAGAGGTATCTGCTTACAAGACCAGGAACTCCATCCTTCTTTCCAGACTTTTCCAACATACCCTGTAATACTCCGTACGATAACTGTCATGCCCATGACTCTAGGGACCAACTGACAAATTTGCCAGCCTTCAAGCACACCGACCAAGAGGTCATAGATTTTTACGCCCGCTCAGCTGCAACGCCCATAGCCAATGTACCCAAATTTGATAGCCGCCGTGTGGTCGATGGTCAGCGGTCTATGAAGTTCCTTAAGCCCTTACCTCCTACAAGCGTAGGCAAGAAATTTGAGCTGCGGTCCAAGGTTCTTGGCGTATATGACAAAGGCAAGGTGGGGACCGTAATCGAGACGGAGACGGTACTTGCAGAGAAAGGTGGAGATGTATACACCAAAGCTGTAGGCAGTGCGTTCTTCATCGGACAAGGCAATTGGGGTGGGCCTAAAGGTGAGGATGAAAAGTGAAGCGAGTTTCACCAAGTGGTTGACGAAGAGAGAAGGTCCAAGTACAGTAAACTACCCACCACCAGAAGGGAAGAAATCGGACGCAGTGCATATTCTGCAGACAGCCAAGGAATCTGCCCATCTATACAGGTGAGATGCTTGCTCTCATCTTGTTAGAGGACGACTGACATCTTAGACTCAATGGCGATTACAATCCTCTCCACGCGACCCCAGAACCAGGTCAGGAGATGGGATTTGGGGGTGCCATTATGCACGGACTCTTCTCGTGGAATTCTGCTTGTCACGGCTTACTGCAGACGCTTGGTGGTAGTGATCCTGCGAATCTAAGAGAGTTTGAGGCAAGATTTGCAGCACCGGTAAAGCCTGGAGACAAGCTTGTGACAGAAGCTTGGAGGACGGGTGAGGTCAAAGATGGATGGGAAGAAGTAAGATTTATCACACGAGTGGAAGGGGGTAAAATTGTTTTGAGTAACGGCAGGGCGTTAATGCACTGTACGATAACAAAAAGCAAGCTCTAAATTTTTTTATCAGTGGTCAGATGTAATTTCAGGAGTTGAATATGTTTTTCGACAACAGACTGTAGAAGAGCAAACCAAAAAAAAGGATCGATACCAGGGAGACTCGAACTCCCAATCTTTGCCACCGGAAAGCAACGCCTTGCCTACACATCATTTCGGAGTCAGCATCGCTTCACCAAGGCGCAAAAGCTGAATTAATGGCATAGTACTGGGTCTTGCGGCGTACCATTAGGCCATGGTACCAGTTTAAGAAATATCCGAGTTATTTCACACATTCGGGGAATTGAAGTCTAACTATTTACTTATATATTCAACAACAATTAGCCACGAAGAGCTGACTCGTAATCTTAGCGTGACTAAGCTAACAGGCTTGGCACTTGAATCGACGTCAAAGTCCACCCAGCATCGATCTACGACAGCTTCGCTACATATCCCAGTGTTTATTCCAGTAATCTGAATCTGCCGCCATCATGTCCACACTCGAAGATCTCGATGACATGGAGAGAGAGGAGAAGGAGGAAAAGAAGGACGACGGCGACAAAGATGGCAAGAAGCCTGATCAGGACGGTGACGCAGAGATGAAGGACGCGGACAGTGATAAAAAAGGAGAAGAGAAAGAGGAGGACATATTCGACCCTGAGATCCTACATTCAAGCACAAGAGACATCATCACGCGGCGGCGACTTCTTGAGAACGATATGAGGATCATGAAGAGCGAGTTCCAACGCTTGACACATGAGCAAGCAGCGATGAAGGAGAAGATTAAGGACAACCTAGATAAGATTGAGAATAACAGGTGCGTCCAAGAAGCGTACGGGTCATCCTAGAATCTACGGTGCTGATGAACGCTTACAGACAGCTCCCTTACCTCGTCGGCAACGTCGTAGAGCTTCTGGATCTCGATGTCGAGAAGGAGGCCGCGGAAGAAGGTGCCAATATCGACCTAGACGCAACTCGCATTGGCAAGTCCGCAGTCATCAAAACCTCCACCCGCCAAACCATATTCCTCCCTCTCATCGGCCTCGTCGATCATACCGCTCTCAAACCCGGGGACCTCATCGGCGTCAACAAAGATTCATACCTCGTTCTCGACACCCTACCCGCTGAATATGACAGTAGGGTCAAGGCTATGGAGGTCGATGAGAAGCCTACAGAGAAGTATACCGATGTAGGTGGTCTAGATAAGCAGATCGAGGAGCTTGTGGAAGCTATAGTTTGGCCTATGAAGGAAGCGGAGCGGTTTAAGAAGATTGGTATCAAAGCTCCTAAAGGTACATCACCTCCTTCCTATGCTTGTCTCCTGCCAAAGCCTCCATAGCTGACCAATCCTTTCCCAACAGGGGCGCTAATGTACGGCCCCCCGGGGACCGGCAAGACCCTCCTCGCCCGAGCCTGCGCCGCCCAAACAGACGCCACCTTCCTCAAGCTCGCGGGCCCCCAACTCGTCCAAATGTTCATCGGCGACGGCGCCAAGCTCGTCCGTGACTGCTTTGCCCTCGCCAAAGAAAAAGCCCCCTCAATCATCTTCATCGACGAGCTCGATGCCGTGGGCACTAAACGCTTCGATAGCGAAAAGAGCGGGGACAGAGAAGTTCAACGAACTATGCTCGAATTACTCAACCAACTGGACGGCTTCGCATCCGACGACCGCGTCAAGGTCCTGGCCGCCACCAACCGCGTCGATGTGCTTGACCCGGCGCTGCTGCGTTCAGGACGTTTAGATCGCAAGATCGAGTTTCCACTGCCCAACGAGGAAGCCCGGGCACAGATCTTGAAGATCCACAGCCGAAAGATGACGGTAGATGATGCGGTCAACTGGCCCGAGCTGGCGAGAAGTACGGATGAGTTTGGGGGAGCGCAGCTGAAGGCTGTGTGCGTTGAGGCAGGGATGATTGCGTTGAGGAAGGGGATGGTGAAGATTGGGCATGAGCATTACGTGGATGCTATTGCGGAGGTCCAGGCGAAGAAGAAGGTGAGGCTTCCTTGGCTCGCTCGGGCCTCTATCGGGTGAAAACACCATGCTGACATAGCGGTAGGACACGGTCAATTTCTACGCTTGAGAGTGGTGAAGATCGAAGGGATCAGCTTCGCTAGGGTCTGGCGGAGGGAGATAGACCGCTGTCCATACATAGCATGGCGATGGCGCGCAGGGTGTACTCGATATCCTTGAAACCAAGCATCAAACGAGACTGCGAACCCTTCTGTGGGTTTCGACCTATGACTGTCCTGCCCCGTTCGACACGTATTCTCCAAGAGATCGCCTCTACACAGTACAACCAGCACGGAACCCACAAACGCTGTTGCTAGAGGGCCAACCAAAATGGCTCAAAGACAAGGCACAGTCAGTTGGAGCTGGATATCACGGCAGCTTTCACCAAGCATGTAATCAATTTCGTGGATCGCACAAAGATTTTCCTTCAATCTAAATTTCTAAACATCTGCCGTAGGTCTGATACCACATTGCTAACTCCGCTTTCGCCTCCGTCTAACACGAAAGAATTTTCCACCCAACGGCCTAAGTACAAGTTTTTGGTGGCCACATGCAAAGCAGCCAAGAAAAGAAGATGCGAGCCTCGTCCCAAAGCTCGAACGAATGCCATGAAAGGGTATCATGTTGTAAGCCCGAAGCTCACTCCGACTCGGAAGGAGTCTTGTGAATGCAAAAAGCCCATCCTAATGTTTTCCTGAACCGTCATGAAACGGGATTTCCTGAGCGAGAGTAGCCATGCGGAAGATGCGATGATGTACTCTGGAATAGAAGACCCGTGATGTCGAACATTAAAAGTCCACCCAAGAAAAGAACGCCGCGATGCTGAAGGTTCCGATGCTTGAACGCCTGAAGAAGTCTATTGAAGCGCCGGCTAGAATGGTAAAAAAAAGAGTCGTAATCCTGAAGAGGTGTTTTGAGCCATATGAACATGTATGCCGGGTCATTATTTTTCCCTGATTCGAAAAACGCCGGACGCCCCCTTTGGTGACCATGAATATTATGTATTGGTGAAAAAATGCTACCGAAATGTTGGCCGCAATCCGTTGTATTAGGTTGTTAGCTCGTGCTCCTCCAAGCGGATTGACGCTGCGTGGTGCAGTGGTCGATATTGTGAGCTAGAGATCAAGAAAGTGAAGGAAGTACGCGTGGAAAGCTCCAGTACCGTCTGAAGGACTGTGCAAGCGGTGGCAGATATTGGCAAGACGTTACTGGGCTCATTCGTCTCGTCGAGCAACGCATATCGAAGCTAGCCGACGACTGCCTGAGGACCGTAGCTAGGAGCCATGGAGTAGCGTTCGTAATGTGGCCCACAATAGCCACAACCGCAAGTAATGCCATGACCGTGAGGAATGTATTGCTGAGCATATGCTGTGTAGTAGTTTGACTGCAAGGCGTTGGAACCAAGAACTTGCAGTGGCGGAGGAACCTTCATAGCCGGATACGCCTGCTGCGGTGCATGACCATACCCGAAACCACCATGCGTGTACCATTCTGGTGTAGTGGGACCTGTTTCGGGAGGCGAATAGTCTGTTTGAGAACGCAACGGTGGCCATTGATCATAGCGAGGTATATTCCACTGTGAATGCACATGGTTCTTGTACCCGTTGCCAAGTTGGTGATCAAGGTATGATGCTGTCTGGCCATCTGTTGGAGAGGAGCGCTGGTGCAAAGACCTCTGCCTCTGTACATTGTTCCCGTTGAAGGCGGTCGACACACCAATGTGAGTTTGCTCCAGGGATTCCGCCAATGCTACATCGACCTTGTTCGCCTTGAAGGCTTGCCAACGTTGATGCCACAACAGGAAGCCCTCCGGATCGTCGGGATTGATATGCATGTTCCATTTGATGTCCATAAGCCATTCCACCTCAAGAACATTAAGCTCGCAGACTGGTATGCTGCTCACTTCCGACCAGGACCGATTTTGGAAAGTATTGTCATCCAAAAATTTGGAACCAAGCACGAGAGCTGTGGTAAGCATACGGTATACTTGTCCACTGCCGTGATTGTATTTGCCACTATTCGACAGCAGAGTCATCCGCTCAGCAAGGTAGTGAAGTCCAAGTAGGATAGTCGAGCTCGGCAGCCGGGTCGACGAAAGAATCTGTGAGACGTATTTGCGAAAGTCTGAATGCACTGAAGATTCCGAGCGAAGCACACTTCGAGTCATGTCAATGTCTGCAAGGCAGATTCTAGAGGCGTAGATGTCATACATTCCTTGTGCCATCTTGGACACAAAGTCTACCATGTCCTCCATCTCGTAGTCCAAGTGAACCGCGACACCACCCACTGCCTTCTCTTCTTTAGGTTGAGGGACACTTGGAGCACTAGGAGCACGATTGGATCGTCCATGGTGCTGATAATCTTCCAGAGAGCGATCCGGGACTCTGATCGGCGGTAGCAGAGGGACGCTTGATGCAGCGTAAGAATTTGCGGCGCCTTGGAGATTAGCGTAGTTTGAAGGCCCATGACGATTGTTCTCTTGAAGGTAGGCGTGCCGTGAGATTGGCGCGAGGGTGTACTGCGAGTAGCGTGGCAGGACTTCCTGTCCTTCAAGTCCTCCCAACTCGTAGTTGGGAATCTGACCTAGCGTGTGGATTGCAGGAAGCTGCCCGGTAGCATGAGCACTGCTGGGGTATGCATCATAGTGGTCGGGAGGCGTTAGAGGCATCTGTCGTGGGAGTGTGCTCGAGTAAAAGGAAGGCATGATCTAGCAACGGTAGCCAAGAGAGGCCGGAAGGCTGACCCTTAAGACGAAGATATTAGGTACGGAGCGTCGATGACCTAGATACCCCTCGCATTCACCTATGCTAACCTGCCACTGCCACCAGCGCGAAGCACGGCTTGGCGAGGCTTAGGAGAGAGTCCGGTATTCAAACACCTGGATTTGATGTCATGGGGGATTCCAAGTTTGTATTGAAGTTGTACTCCGATGTGTAATCTAATTTGATGGTGGTGGTCGTGGTCGTGAATCGTTGTTTAGAAAGATATGTCGTCACGCTGAAAGTACAAGATCGCTAAAGTTGAAAAGCCTGAAGGAAAGGGAAGATGATGATTGGAGGATTCTCTGCAGTGTGTTGTTAATGCGGAAGCGTGCAGTGTTGCAGATTCTTTGTCGGTTCTTTAGTGATCAGGATTGACTCAAGGAGCCACAAGTCTTAGTGAAAAGCTCGTTCAGCTTGAGATGAGTTGTCGAAGTCCTATCAAGCAGATGTAGAATGGTGCAGAAGGGGGGAAACTTGGTGAAGGTTCTAAGCGTGCAGAGCCATGGATCGTAGCCTGATGGGCGGAAACCGTGTGATAGGAGCAAGCAACGGAGGTTCAGCTGCCAAATGTGCTCTTTGTGGTCTGATGCTGAGACCCAATGTCAACCGGCAATAGACTGATTGGATGTAATTGAAACGCTGGATGCCAATTTCTTCACACTTCCGGAGAACTGTCCCAATTCACGTGTCAAGACTCCAATGATATTGGCAAGTACAGACAGGATATTTTGAATGTCGCAGCGGAAGGGTGTTGTTTCTCTATCTCTGGCAGGATGTGATTCGGCAAGGAGGGAGGACTGGAGTGTTGTTTTGGGGGGGGGGGGAAATTAAGAGTAATCTCTTTAAAGACCGCCTTCCGCTCGGCGGGTGTTGGAATAGAGCGGGAGGCAGGAGAGCGTGTCGTGGTAGAAAGAGAAGGTGGAGTTGGAGGTGGAGGTGGAGGTAGAAGTGGAGGTGTTATGGCACGAGGAGAGGGATGAAGGAAGAAAAGAAAAGAAAAGGATTGGTGTGGTGTGGTGATGACGATGAGCGGTGATGGAGGAGGAGGAGGCAGCGATTTATTTCGCCAAGTCTCAAGGGGCGCCCGCCAAGCCAAAAAAAATTAATTAAAAAAATTAGAAAATAAAGTTCGTCCCGGTAAAACATGCCGCCCGAGGGCCGAACGCTAACTTCGTCCAACTGTCCCCTCGGTCGATTGAATATTAGTTTGCAAACAACCACTGTCATCTCATAGACGCAACATCTGCAAGTCTAGACATGTAAGTACTCTCAATATTACTAATAGCTTCTCTAACATTCTAAATTCTTGTTAGGCCGGCATCTCCCAGGATATCGAATGTATCTACCAACGATGCATCTACCAACGATGCAAGCTTCTATTCTCTCTCACCTCTATATACACCGACTCCGTTAGTCCCTTCTACGTCCCCATCAGCTAGCCCTCGACAAATACCTACCGTTCCTTCTCCATCAGCGACAGTGCAGGAAGTACAATGTTTCTTTAGAGACTGTTTCCTTGCATTTCGTCCGTTATTAGATCAAGAAGAGGCGGAGATGGAAGCAAAGAAATTAATGATTGATGGTGTTGGCCTTTACACATTCTCTGCAGAGGTATTTCGCGATGAGTTCGGTCCTGCAGGACGAGCAATCTATGATATTGTTGATAATGGATACTATAGGTATGTAAGTTATATCTATAAAAACTTTATCTCTTATCAACTGATATAGCATAGGCGAAATCCTTTTGGCCTTTTCTCAGATTTCTCCAAAAGGTCTTTGCTGCCGTGGCTGCAGGAAATGGCATCTATCAATTCTGGAAAGACCCCAAAGAAAAAAAGCTCGCAGTCACATATATCTTTGCGGCCATCACCACCTTCGTTTCCTTCGTATACCAATTCACCTCTACTGGATGGGTTATCGAATCAAAAATTTGGCCAGAAAAATTCAAAGTGCGAAACCCAGCAGAAGCAGCAGCAGCAACTCCCCGGACACCATGGTGAAACAGAAGCATGGCAGCCTCAGAATGGCGTCAGGATTCGGCGTCAATATCGCCAAGACATAGATTGAGTAAATAAAAATAAAATCGAACTCAACACAGAAACATTTGCCGGATTACAAATGCGAGAATAATCAAATAACTTTCTCTTGAAGGGGCCGCTCCTTCAGCTAAGTAACTACTATCTATCAATCAGTCAATCAGTCAATCAATCAATCAATCAATCAATCAATCAATCAATCAATCAATCAATCAATCAATCAATCAGGCAGGCAGGCGTTGGTAAATCAACAATGGATCATGACTGTTCTTGCCAGCTATCTATCTGCTCAAATTGTGCCTATCGGAAAATCATTATTCGTGTTGAGTAAGGTAAGGTAGACCGCCTTGTCTGACTGCTTATAATATTACCGCTACTGTGGGAGTCACAACCAGTGACTTCGACTCCTTGGTCCTTTCTGGGACTTGCATCCGAGAAAAAGATCTCGACTACGAATACGAAAGCTTCACAGATTTGCACGTAATGAGAAGAAATCCTCTGATTAGAGTACATTATGGTAGAATTGGATTCGTGGCTTTTCGGATAGGCTTCAGTCTCGAAGCTCCAGTGACATTGTGACTTCTTGCCAGTACCCTCAACGACTAGACAACTGGTCGGACCAGAGCCTGGCATGCGTGGTCTGTTCATGCGTTTCGTCAGTGAGTAAGAGAATGAAGCTGATTGGCACTGCATGCCTGACTTCGGCTGATACATAGAGTCAGACACGGGGAAGTGACGATTCGAGTATGGCTTTTCCCCGTAGTCCTAGTAGAGCTAAGGCTCCCGTTTCCATACAAGTGTCCTGCAGCTAAAGGAGAACCGCTGCGTTTCCGACATCAGATGAAGTCTTTCTGATAGTACATAGCCAGGTTTCTTCCTAGGCAGAAGTAGACCTACTCAAGTGTTGTAAGTGATTCGTAGTTGCGCTCGAGCTCCATCGTCCTTGTCCGTGCCCCAGCGTTCTTTCCATGCTTTCTCCACTGCCCTCGCCTCAACGAACGCTTGACGGCAACCTTCCGGTAACTCGGCAAGCAAATGCTCCGGCAGACGAGTCAGCTCCGTTTCTTCGTCAGGTCCTGGATATCCCAATACTGATGCAGGGGGAGTTTCGAAGTACGTGTCCGAGATCATGAAGTTCCGTGTGAACACTGGTGCGATATCTGGAAAAATTGTATTGGCCGCTGGTTCGCGGCCATCGGATAAGTGCCCGTTGATCTGATCAGCTGCAGTTTGCGAAGTTCTTGGCGTTGGCGATGTAGGTAAAACCTGCTCCCACCGAGCGTGTGTCGGCTGCATGATCTTGGGATATTGCATGACATTGGTGTGGACGTCGTATACGCCGTTCAAATTATGACGACGCTGGGCCGCGAGAGAAGAATTGAAGCGGCTGGCAAAGTCAGTCAGGGATTTGAACTTGAGAGCTTGTGCCTTTTACCTAGCTTCTCGGGCATGTTCGAACATCCAATTTGCTCCAGTGACGATGATCTTGCGCTTTTTGCCTTCAACGGCTTTGCCGTTGACTATGGGCACGCTTGGTGCTCCTGTGTGGTAAACGGCGCTTGCCCCATGCCACGCAACAAACTTGTTCTTGTCATATTCCTCGCCACCACCCGGTAGATCGTCGTCGGGATTGGCTAGTTCACCCTCGACATCCCCGTTGGCACGTGCTGTAGCCGCCTGATAATCATCTGTGATTTTCTTGCCACCAATGATAATTCTTGCCCCAAACTCTCGAAAGACAGAGCGGGCAGTGACAACGCCAATCGCCCTTCCCTTGTATGAGTGAGGAATAAGGCCTCGCTCGATCAAATCTTTCTTGGCCTCTTCTGCAAGGATGATCTTGTACAGCTGTTTGTGTTTTTGAAAAAACAGGTAGCTGTCTCGAAATCCGATGCATCTTGCGGGCTCAGTAGATAGCATGTAAAGCCGGTCGCCCTTTCCTTCGATTGAAAATGTTCTGACGCGATATTCTCTGCCCCCCTTGAGGTGTCCGTTCACATCGACCTTCTCCTCGCCCTCAGAGTCCGGGGGCAGCTGTACTTCATCGTCCTTGACTGGGGCCATATTGCCTTCCTTGTCCAAAGGTACTTGCGTGACATGTGACGGGCCTCCTCTTGGCTTACCCCATCTACCGCCTCCAAAGCCACGTCCACGCCAACCTCCTCTCTTCCTCGGCGTTCCTGCTTCCGATCCGGTATCTCGTGACTCCAACTCATCCGCTGCACCTCGACGACTAGATCCTCGTCTGGCAGGTCTTCCGCGCTTTCGAGGTTTGAGTATTCGTCCAGGATTGGGCGTGGAGAGGCGAGAGCCCGCATCTGATTCGGCGGCTGGTGTAGCTTGGCCGTCTTCTTCCTCCACTTCTATTTCATTCTCCTCTTCATTCTCACTTCCATTTTCCTGAATACTTGCTGCGGCTGAAACTGGTCCATCTACCATTTCTTCGTCAGAGATATCAGGCGCTTGGGGTGTTGTTATTCCTGCCAACAATTTGTCAGCGATGTGTGAGTGGACCTCGTATATTACTTCGTATTCTTGAGCCACAGTATTTGTAGGAAAAAAAACTTCATCCTTACTTTTCGCTGCTCTTGCAGCTTGTGCCCGAGATGTGCGGACCATGACTGTCACTTTCCAAGCTTTCTTATCGCTCTCACACAAGTACGTCAAACGCTATGTGTAGCTGATGCTGGTTATGTTGTCTTGGCGAATTGTGTTTCCTTGCTGACTAATAGATTAGGTGGATTTAACCGGGGATCCTCCAGACACGCTAACGTACTGTCTCCTCCGTGAGGAGCTGGGAGTCTGATAAATTGGATTTCCTGAAGCTCTTGTGAAATGGCTCATGCGAATATTCAGCTCAGCTCCTGCGAATTTTACTCCGGTCCGAAGTACCTTACATACTGCCATGCCAAACGCCCCGCCCGTTGGTGTTGGACTCAGTGCCCCGCGTAGGCCCCAGAGAGCCTTTTGCGCCTCTTGCCGTGCTCATGAAAAAGCATGGGGAAATTGATGGCGAAATGATACTTTACTTTTACGTTAGGCTAATAAGTTGTTGGAACAGATGTTGTAAGGTAATTGTAACATATGGCACATGGAGATTTCAGGCGAGTTGTATGATAGTAATCTTATGTTTGTACCTATGTATCTACCTCTGAATTCTGCTCAAGATGGGCAAGGAAAGCTTTTTAGCATCTCTGTAAGGAGGAGTACTCTACGACATGGTGCCAATTGTAGACGTACAATAACTTCGTCCTGCACTCCTGCCAGGCTTTGCTGGAATCCAATTTATTGGGCGGAGTATTCTAGCCAAGTTGGAACTTCTTAAGTTCTTCCCATCGAATCGGGCGCTTGGAGGCGAGAGTTCGGAGAGATCCGAGCGAGAGAGAGAGAAAGAGAGATAGTCCAGTCCCGCCCGTCCTCATCCAAAACAACCCCTCCCGCCATACGGAACTTACTCGCACTCTTTCTGCAACGGCAATCCAAGCTCGCTGGCAGCGACCAAACTGGAGCAGATGGCTCATCAGCTGAACACTGATTACTTGAGGCGAAAACTGCTGAATCCACAGAGGCGAGTCTCCTTCCCTGCTTCATCACCCTCGCTTTTCCCCCCATTTTCCTTTCGCCTTTGCCCCCGCAGATCCAGCATTTCTGCAGCTTTCATTCTCGTCAATCTCCAGCATTTGGCCCTGAGAATTGGCTTACTCTCTGCCATCGCTGTCGCAATTCATATTACTGTATCAACCGATGGTCTTGCCTTCTAAGTCCCACATGTCATACCTTATCACTCTCCATGACTTCGGGGGTTTATTAGCATCAGAGCTCCAGGAGCTAGTGCAGATCATCTGGCTCCCGAGCTTCCCTGCCAGGCCAGTGAGCCGGACGAAAATTGTTCCCAACACCACATATCATACATAATCCCTCGCCCCAGCCTTTTCTCGCCCGTCAACACGTCTCTCATCTTCGACCACGACTTTGCTTACTCTACTTTCCTGCATCTTCAACACAATCACCCCCAATGCACATTTCATATCTGCGAGCCTTTGCCACATCAATCTTCGCTCGCCCTCCTAAAGCCTTGTGCTTTCATGATTCATTTTCGTGGAATAGTAAACATCAGGACAGCTACTAACACTCACGTTGGATAGTCACTCGGACGATGAGACTCATAGTATAGGATCAGCACCGCCATCCGGCGTCGCCACACCTCACCCCGACCCAACTGACAAACGATTGCCCGGAATATTGCACAGCTATTTTGGACAGGTTCGTGAAAGGTCTTTCACAAGTCCCAGCAATCCATAATATCCCTTACTTGTCTACTTCGCGCATAAAATGGAAGTTTTCTCGTCCAAGCTCGGTCGAGGGCTTGCGGGTGGCGCTTTGCCCACAGCTCCTAGCTCACCTGGCGAGCAACATGGGACAGATCCGCAACAGCCCTTGCTCTTACCATCCCAGAAACAAAAGCAGGATCGAAGACGTAATTCCATGACCGCCCCTGCGTACCCAACGCCGCCAACTTCATCCTCTTCTTCATCTTCAACACGCAAAGTGAGCGAGGCTGGCAGTGATGGCAGCTCCCAAACACGTGATGCTGACATGTTCAATTCCTGTCATCCTCTTCTGCAACGGAAAGGATCTGGGAGCAATATTTTGCCAGTACGCACCCGCCGACAGACTGCCGGCTTGAACCCCCTCTCCAGCATTACGACGAGCTCTTCTGTTAATGCTGCACACATTTCGAACCCCACATCCTCTCGTTCATCATCGATACCAAGCACCCCAACCTCGGATACACCTGGCAAATCTGCACTTTCTTCTTTGACTTCACACCTGGAACTCACAAGGCTAACTGATCACGCGGCTTCGCCGCGTAAAAAGAATACCCCTCCACTGAGCCCACGAGCGCTGTCGAACGATGACTCAGAGTCAGTCAGACAAACCCCACCTACCACGGATCAGGGCAATGAAAAGTCCATCGTGAATGGAGCTACCGCAGCGCCGACACCTCGGTCATCGCCCCCTGTCGGTCCTCCGAAAGGAAAATTATCAGTAACAATAGCAGGCGCTCGGGGTTTAAGCCCCAGTTTCAATCCATATGCTGTTTGCGCCTTCGAAGAGATCGAGTCGATTGCCACCGGCTATAGGCATGGAGACGCGGAAACAAAACCCGGGGCAAGAAGCAGAGACCAGTCTGCTGGTGGTGTTCCAATTAAAGCACCCAATGGCGAAATGGGCAGGTCCATGGCGATCCCGATGAAGAGTCGGCAAAGTAGCACGACAAGTCTCAAAGACCAAAAGGAGTTCAAGAATGGTAGAATCACTGATCCCATATGGAATCATGAGGCGCTTTTGTAAGAATCTCTCATAGCCTCCATCCTTTGCTTCTTGCTGATGGATTTGGACAGTGATGTCCTTGGGAAACATTCCGAGGTGAGCATCAACGTTTACGACAGTGGGAATCACGAAGCGTTTCTGGGCCTCGTGAAGGTCAATCCGGACGTATTCCATGGGAATAAAAGAGTAGAGGGTTGGTACAGACTGGAAGCTCGGGACCCCGAAGAAGATCATGTCTCTGGCGAGGTCCACCTCGACTTTTCTTTTCAGAAAACGGATAAGACAAAGTTCGGACCCGAGGATTTCCAGATATTGAAACTGATAGGCAAAGGTTTGTTGGACGTATTACTCAGAAATATGCTGCTAATTTAGAATTGGCAGGTACCTTTGGCCAAGTTTTTCAGGTGGTGAAGAAGGATACTGGGCGTATCTATGCTATGAAGGTCCTTTCAAAGAAGGTTATCGTGCAGAAGAAAGAGGTGGCTCACACACTTGGGGAGCGCAACATCCTAGTCCGCACAGCAACAGCTAATTCCCAATTCATTGTCGGACTCAAATTCTCCTTCCAGACTCCTACCGACCTTTACCTTGTTACGGGTTTCATGTCCGGCGGTGAATTGTTCTATCATCTCCAAAAGGAGGGCAGATTTGACGAAGGCCGCGCAAAGTTCTACATTGCCGAGCTCATCCTGGCTCTTCAGCATCTACACCAATACGACATTGTATACCGCGATTTGAAACCGGAAAATATATTGCTTGATGCGAATGGACACATCTCACTTTGCGATTTCGGTCTGTCAAAGGCCAACCTTACCAAGGACCAGACCACCAATACCTTCTGTGGAACTACAGAATACCTGGCTCCAGAGGTATTGCTCGACGAAGCAGGATACACCACAATGGTGGATTTCTGGTCCCTTGGTGTGTTGGTATTCGAGATGGTCTGTGGATGGAGTCCATTCTATGCCGACGATACGCAGCAAATGTATAAGAACATTGCGTTTGGCAAGGTCCGCTTTCCCAAGGATGCTCTGAGCACAGAGGGAAGGAATTTTGTCAAGGGCCTGCTCAATCGAAACCCGAAACACCGACTAGGCGCAAAGAGAGACGCGGACGAGCTCAAGGAGCATATCTTCTTTGCAGATACTGACTGGAACGCAATGATGAACAAAATGGTCGTGCCGCCCTTCAAGCCCAAGCTTAAAAACATACGCGATGTGTCCAACTTCGACCCGGAATTTACCAATGCCCTACAGAACTCTTCTTCACTGAACGAGCGTGCAGCAGCGCTAGCTGCTGGTGCCATGCCGGCCTCGACTCCGCTCTCACCAGGCATGCAGGCGAACTTCAAGGGCTTCACTTTTGTCGATGAGAGTACCATGGACGAACAATTCAAAGGTCAAGATCTGGAGACGATGGATGAGGATATGGAGGATGATGATGGCTGGACACAGCTGCCCAGCACGAAAACTGATCGAGGGGACCGCATGAGTGGGATCATCAAGACCACGTCTAACGATGATGGAGTTTTCAACAATGGCCATTTCGACATGTAATGACTTGGACGACAATGAGCTCAAACGATGGACGGGTTGATGGGACCTGTCCTTGGCTCAAGGGCCCGTGCTTTTTACATGCCGATGCCTTCTTGCTGCGTGCCTCCTATTGCCTTACGACTGGGGGCAGGAGGATTGTCTGCTATTTGAGCGAGCGCTTTTGCGGGGGTTTTCTTTTGCATGGCAGGCGTCAGAAGCAAGCATGAACGATGGGCACGAGATCGAGGAAGAGATCGCAGTGGAAAAAGCCAATGCATGCTGCGATCGCTGTACATATTGTGATTCTTGCTCTACCTCTGAAAAGACAAACTGAACTCTGCAAACCATATTCTGGCTTCGCCGTAAATCAATGTGCAAATCAGAGCCGGGAATCCTCCAGGATGCTCGAGTGTTCTTTCAGGGGCTAGGATGACGACCCATGGTGTCGGGAAGGAAGAAAGGCGAGATCCGTAGTCGATCTCGAGGCTTCCGACTGGATGGGGTCATGGGAGAGCGCAACGTCACCCGATCCGTAGCCGTCGCCCCCGTCAGCGTCGTCGGCTTCGAGCCCAAGAGCCAACGGGGAGAGGAAAGGGGCGGGCAGCTGGGTCGACTGAGGGGATCGGTCGGGTCGGGTCGCGGGTTCCCGTACGCGAGAGGGTCGCAGGACGAGGCGGAGGAGTCACAGGCTGGAGTCCCCGGGCCCCGATCAGGTATGGTTAAGGATTGAAGGGGTCGAGACTCTCGGCTCGAGTTCAGTATATCAAAGGGGTATAGATTTTATTCCAAGCTGGCTCAATCTCGCAAGATTACTAACGAAGTAGGACATGATCCAAATGGCCCCTCTCCTTGACGACTCGTTCCCTAAAAGAAATCCAGCAAATCAACCCTCCGATACCTCGGCCTCTCAGTATGTCTTGATGATTTCGAAGTCAGCATGTCTCTTCTGGAATCAAGATATGAGTTGTGAGAAAGGTCCTGGGAGTGCGTTGTTCTCACAGAGGTTTTGGAGCTCAAAAATTTGCAGGAATCGGGCAGAAATGGCACGGAAATGATAACTTACTGCCACCACTTGTAACCCCCCGGGTTACTCGCATTCCACAACCCTCTGCACGAATCCTTGAACGCCATCTCATCCCTGCCACTAACCACATCCGGAAAATCAATCCACGCCTGATCACTCCCGGGTACATCGGGCTCGAGACTGTAATCGATCTTGGAGCCAATCTCGCCGATGAAGCCATTGAGATCGAAAATCTCATGCACGAAGTCTACGCAGGTTTCGGAGTCAGCATGGTTCTTCTCACGTGACAAACCGAGAAAAGAGGCACGTTTGAGGAGTAGAAAATGTCTTTCGCTGCCGAAACATAGCCTTTCACCTAAGTAAGAAGATAATTCTGAAGAAAATTGTAGCTTTCTGCTCTCGAGACAAGGATTGTGACCCTAATTTAAAACCGAACAGAAAGGATTTACTCCGAAAGGTACGTACCTTCTTCTTGCACGACGACTTTGAACTGCACGGTGTTCCATGCCTCCTCGAGTCTTTGCTGGGCGGCGCGGCGGGAGGTGAGAAGGCTGTCGGGCGCCATGGTGTGGGCGTTGTTAATGCTGTTCCAGTCACTCGGCAGTTCGATTTGGGCTCTGGGTTTGCAGAGAGCCTGGAGCAGTCCGAGGTGATCTGAGGGAGCTCTTATTGTACGGAGCCGCGGGAAGCCTTTTGCCCTAATGGAATCTGCTAGGTTTACGTTCGCAGAACCGGGAACGATGATTTCCCAGTGGAGGAACTCGAGCAGGTGAGATGCGATGATGGGCAGGATGGCTATTTCTCCTTCAGCAACTTCGGGTGAAGTGTCTTGTACCAAAGTGAACCGTCTGAGGTTCTTCAGGTGGAGGAGCAGATTCGAAATGGCCGATATGTACATGACGTCTAGGTTGATTAATGAGAGATTGCGAAGAGAAAAGGCGTTTGTAATACGCGAAAACTCTGAGAGGCCCCAGAAAGTGACTCCTTCGAGATCCTGGAGACGCAGAGAATGAAGCGCTGGCAGATACTGCAGGGTATAGTCGTCAAAATCGTCCATATCGAAACTCGAGATGCACAGGTGTTTCAGGGCTGGTAATCGATGCAGAATTCCTGGTCCTTGAACTCTGCGTGGATCTCCATGGTTCTTGATACTCACAAAGATGTCCTTTTCTAAGATTCCAAGGCCAGGGGAGTGAAGGAACAACGTTGTTAGCGAAGTCCAAGCATGATGGAAAGAGACGAATGATTCCTTCTGCTCTGGATCCATTAGACCAGGAGCCAATTGCTTCTGACTCCGCTGGGTTATGGCGGCGTTTTCTCCAATCAACCACATCTGCTCTTTCAATTTCTTTCGAGTTGACAAGGCATGGGTTAATCGATCGAATTCATGACCATAGACGGGATAAAAACCGACTAGCCTCTCAAGGTTGGGACAGGCCATGACTAATGATGCCACTATATTGATCATGCCTTTCCTCAAGGGGTCACCCTCGGCTTGAAGGCAAGGGACCTTGAGCTCGAGGACGTGCTGCGCAAGGAAGCTTCGTTCCCGCAGTGTCCGCCTTAACAGTTTTAACCGTACTCCAGTCTTCATTTTGTATTTCTTCATCTGTTCCTTCGAGTCGGGTCCCACAAGATGTATCCGATCATACCTACGAACGTGTTAGCCGCATGCTCCTCCACTTTGCAATGGCGGGCAGCATTTGCTCACATCCGCTTGACAACAGCTTTGTCCCATGCTCTGCTGGTCAAAGCAAGAGAGCAGAGGTCTCGAAGATGACATGTTTGGCAGCTTTGCGACGCTGGATCTTCGTGGAGTACTCTCAGCTGTTGTAATATGCAGTCGTAAATCTCTAACGGCAGACCTTGGAAGACTGGTCGGCGAAGTGTTTTAGGACGTAATTGTAATTGGCTTGAGTGGGGCGATCGTCTAGAGACGAGTGACACTGGAGTGCTTGGGGCGGTAGAGTATGTATAGGTGGTAGCGGAAGATCCAGCGCTTTTCATACTTGTGAATGAGGAGATTGACGTTCTCGGAGATTGGAAGAGGTTCATGTCTGCACCGTTGGCATCTGATGAGAAGGAGGTCCTTGGCGGCGGGATTGGTAGGCTTTGAGCTCTCAATGCTCCGAGGGGCCGGCGGGACCTGAGTTGTACAAATGTCAGCTTGTGAGAGAGGGTCAATTGAGGCTCCGGATTGCCAACCTAGACGCCAAAGCATCGTCAGGCGCAAGACGATCTTTGTGTTCTAAGTAGATATCCATTGCCATTGAGCGACTCGACATACATCGAGGAGGTTCTTGAGAAGGGTAGAAAAGATAGGAGCTACAGCAGGATATAGGAGGGATGTTGGGATGCTATATTTTTACATAGCAATACTAGATGCAAGACCAGGAAGAGTAACGACAGGTATGAATGATAAGGGATGAAGAATACTTTAAGTTAAGAGGACTTTGGAAATTGAGGATGAAGATGAGGGATATTTGACGCCACAGTTGAACCAGTTGGACCGTTCACCAGCCACAATAACTTTACTGTATTCCAATTTCCATGGAATTCCCATGGGAGATCTACAGTGGGAGAGTGGGAGAGTGGTACGTGTACCCTGCACCATCCTACAGTACTTTAACATCTTGCCGCAACGGTCGCAGACTACTGAGACTAGGTAGATGAACCCCCAAGCTTAGCTTCCCGGCACGTCGGTGAACACAGAATATGTACCATCTGTTTCTACACATACCTACTATGGCAATTGTTGATTCCACTGTCGTTATGAGATGCTTTAGTTGCCTGCACCTGTTGTTGCTGTTGCTCCTCCTCCTCCTCCTCCTCCTCCTCCTCCTCCTTAATGTTGTGGATGTACCCTCTCTTGAGTGTGTCTGTGGACCTGATAGCGGTGATGACTCCGTACGGATACTTCTTGCGATTTTCCACAATATTGTTTCATCTTTACTGACGTGAGCTCTTCTTCTAGCCCTTCTCTTCCTCCACATTGCGATCCTGCTCCTCATTGACCCCGTTGAGATGTAGATGATTCAAACCATAGCCCTTGCCCTGAGACTTGCCGCTGGGCGTTATCCTGCTGAGTTGCCCATGGTCTCGACAAGTGCTACTTCGCAGACGGTTTCAACGTAGGCTTCGAACCGTCGTAGGTGTAGCTGTCGTTTACCTTGACCCGATAATTTATACGACCCAGGGTTTTGCATCAACTGGGAAGTGTGAGCAGAGCCACATGCAGTCGTGTTCTGTGCATGGCGAGAGGGCTGTTATTAGCCAAACCACCACCAAGCTCAATACTTTCCAGATTAGCAAAATATTCCTATGGCTTACTACCCTTGGCAATCTGCTTGTTCTTGGATTTGGTCTTCTGTCTGAGAGGAACTACTGCAGGGCTGCTCTTCGCGCCAGCTCCAAGCTTCTCGGTCTTCAGAGTCCCTCCCACCGTTGAAAAGCGGCTTGTGGTCATCTAGGCCTTGCCCTATGACTCTTCCATCATGCACCATGATGCAAACTCGACAGTGAGACCTGCTCAAGGCAGAGAAACAGGTATCAGTCAGTGCGAGGAGACATCCTTCCCTTTCAGTATGTGTAGTTGAACGTGACGGACAAATTTGATGTAGTGTACGGTTGAGAACTTGGTCAGTAGTGAGTCAAACGGCGACTGAGATAACTGTTTTTGTTATTTCCCTGATGTCCTTTTTATACGAGTAATTGAAGGAATCCAGGTGTGACACTATCGCGAGAATTTAAACCCTGAGTTGCCAAGAGCCCGCCGCGACCTTTCCGGGTCTTCAATAGCTCTCCTTGTCGTCAAAGACCAAGGCATTCTCTACCTCCTCTCTTCTCAAGCTGGCCTTCTCTTTTAATGCGGGGTGCTCAATTATATCAGCTGCAATATCTTGTTGACTTTTCATCTACTATCAGAGTTCCCCCATCTCCTTCACAATTATGCCTACCGCAACCGAAGGCTCTCAATCCCTCCAAACTCCTGCTCTTCCCAGCGAGATCCTCATGGTCGCGGAGACACAATGGCTTTTCACCGAAGCGGAACTCCTACAAACGCCTTCAATCCTCGACGGACTGGCCCCAGAAAAAGAACGCGAGAACCGAAGCAAGGGCGTGAACTTCATCCTCCAAGTCGGCATAATGCTCAAGCTACCTCAAATCACTCTCGCCACAGCCTCCGTCTTTCTCCACCGTTTCTACATGCGGCATTCAATGCAGATTTATCACTACTACTCCATGGCCGCAACGTGTCTCTTCCTGGCCTACAAGGTCGAAGAGTGTGTCCGAAAGATGAAAGAACTGGTAGTAGCGTGTGTAAGAGTAGCGCAGAAGGATCCTCACAAGAATGTGGACGAACAAGACAAAGAGTATTGGCGGTGGAGGGACAACATATTACAATATGAGGATCTGTTGCTGGAGGCCATCTGCTTTGATTTAAGCCTGGAGCCGCCATACAAGACGCTTTTCGATCTTCTCATGCAATTCGAGCAAGGAGATAACAAGAAGTTGAGGAACGCCGCCTGGGCTTTTGTGAATGACAGTTGCCTGACCACACTGTGTCTGCTCTTCCCAAGCAGAACGATCGCCGCCAGCGCCCTTTACGCGGCTGCGAAACACTGTGATGTCGCTTTCCCGGATGATGCGAGGGGAAGACCTTGGTGGGAAGTCATTGATGTTGACGTAGGTAGCATCCGCAGAGCGTGCAATTACATGGCTAGTATTTACGAAAGCGGTCCAGCGAAAGCAGGCAAAGAGAGTGGGATGTATGAGCGGACTCCGGGAAATGGGGACGAGCGAGAAGACAAGACAAGATCCGCAGGGGTCAAGATCGAGGATGGTCGAAGCTCTGGGGGTAGTAACGACGGCCTCGCTTCACCTATGGTCGTTTCTCCTAAGGGCAGTCAAGCGGGAGCCAAAAGAGGACGCCAAGAAGAAGGAGAGGCGGAAACAGAGCAAGCACCATCCGTAAACGGTGCCGGTCATGAAGCGAACGGGCACGCCATAAACCAAGACGGTTCCAGAAAGAGGCAGAAAGTCAAGGAGGAACCCTCTCGGAACGGCTTTGCTCCACAACCGGAGCAAGGACCTATTCCACATCGTCCCACTACTGCTCCAAATTCCGAGCAGCCAACCGACGCCGCCCAACCGGATGGTGCAGCTGTTGCACTGGCGCGGGATACGAAGGTTGAAGTCGGCTTGGAGAGCCCCCAGCTGGAGGAAGATGGCAGTGAGGAAGGCGAAGTGGAAGCATAATCTACACCATCGTAGGGGGAATGACGAGCAGAAGTGGGGCACAGCGCAACGGGCTCGATGCGGTACTCGAGATACCCAATGTATGGGCAATTTGGGATACCCTTGAAACCCTAGAGTACTTGATAATTCAGCCAATAGTGCAGACTGTTTCAACAGCAGTGGAGCCCTTGCGAATCTTCCCCGTGCATCGTGGTGCGTACTCCCAACAACAAGGTCTGCTAGTATGGAATATGGCAGTCGTCATGTGCAGACTGCCTACCTTGCCGCTGTCATCCCTTACAAACAATGGTTCAGGCACACGAATATTCAGGCACAGGTTTGCACAGTAGCTTTTTACTTTCATTTCTCCTCTAGCCTATTTTATAGTACTGGAGTACACGCACCACCATGGTGGTGCTGGGTAGCGAGCTTCCCCAGACCTTGACCACCCCTGAGCATTAAATTATTCCACAGGTCATCGAGTCATTCGCAAGCATGTAGAGCTGGCAGCATGAAATGTAATGACATTCGCCCTTGCCCAACACCCTCATCGAGTGAACCGCCCTGTGGTGTCGTTCTGAAAATCCAGATGTGATAGCATTAGTGACCATGCAAGCCACCTCGAGGACTTTGTTTAAATATGTGTGGGCAAAGGAATTGGATCTCTCAATGTTGAGCAATCCTTTGACTGCACCCCTTTCGGATATCACTCTGAGGAAAGATCCCTGATAAAATGAATGAACAACGCAAGCTGATCCGATAGAATGGTGTGTAAAGAGAGAGAGTTGTGTTTTGTCACGCCGCCGGCCAAGGTGCTCAAGCCTTGCGCGACTAAGCAGCAGGCAATGCAGTGATATCACCCTTGCCCTCACCGAGCCATTCGGAGTCGATCAGCTGCTCACGCATGGGATACATGAGCTTGTAGGCGGTACGAATAGTTCCGTCGCTGACACCTGCTACTCCGGATATCTCCTTGGGAGACTTTGGCTGACCCATAAGATGCGAGGCGGTGTAGATGCACGCTGCTGCAATGGACAGCGGAGAGCGACCGGCGAGCGAGCCGACTTTATCAGCCCTCTCGGCAATATTTTGAGAGATAGTAGTGATCCGGAAGTTGAGGCCGAGCTGGTTGCAGAAGCGGTTGCAGAGCGCTTTAGGATCAACCGATTGTTTAGCAACGTAATCGTCCTCGGTGTTGACGAGTTCTTATACATCCATGTTAGCAAGACATAATGAATTAGCTTACCTACCGAAAAAGACTTACCGCCAGCCTGCTCGGCCATGATCTTTTTCTTTCGGTTCTCGGAATCGAAGAACTTCTCAAGAGCCTTAAAGATCCTTCCAATTTCCGCCTTGGAGACTTTGGTCAACGCAAATATTTCTCGAAAGGTTCGAGGCACACCCAGCTGGCGGCAGGCAATGAAGATGCAGCCAGCAATAATTGTATCCTGGGATTTGCCTTTGAAAGCTTTGGCATCGTCAACCTTCTTGAACAGATGCTTCGCATAATTTGCGACATTCGAAGGAATATTGATGGAGTCACAGAAGGCTCCAAGCTCCTTGTAAGCGGCCAAGAGAGTCTTGGTAGACTTGTCGTGAGTAGCCTTGTTCTGAGCTCGATGTAAATCACGGCTTCGACCATTAGCACCATCGTTGAAGGCGATAGAGGTCTGCAGCTGAGAACCGTTCAAGAGCGGGTTTGCGCCGTCTCCAACACGAGAAGGATCATCGTTTCCTTGATCGTCATTCGAGAAGGTTCGCCACTCCGAGCGAGTATCGACAATTCTGTCACCAAGGACTAAACCACACGAGCCGCAGACCATATCACCACAAGAGAACTCTTCTTTTAGGTTCGGAGGGAACTCTTTGCACTCGGGACAGATCATCGTATTGTTGAGATTCTCCTTCCATGTCTCTTGAGACCCGTTGGCCATTTTGGATGCGAGCACCTTGGAAGTGAGCGCCGGCTTGTTGAACCGCTGCTTCGTCCTCTTCTTGATCCCTTTGGATGTTGCAGCGAGGTTGTGTCTAGGAGCGCAACAACGGATGAAGAGTGGAGAATACAGTTTGGCGACTTTGAAATAGGGCGGCGAGAATGAGTGTTGTGAGAATAAGTGTTGATGGCTAAGGGAGCAACTGTTCCACTGGCTGCTTTCCGACTGCCAACCAAGGCGTCCGTGAGGTTCAGAGGTTCGGAATCTCACAGATAGTCAAGAAAGCGAAGACATACAACGGTACGACCACAAAGCTGACCGGCAACCCTGAATGATCGTGTTGTTGAAGGTCGACCAGACGATGGCAGTGATGTGAAGGATGGAAGAAGGTTGAAGGAGGAAGCGGTGTTCAAGTAGCGAGAATGATGACTCAACCCTTGTCGTTCAGCCTCACTTTTTAGCGTCCACTTGAAAGGGCCGCGCTAAACTGCAAAGCTAGAAGGAATGAGCGCTTTCCAACCAGAGCTCAAAACATTTGACTATTCGAGATCCGCCAGACCTACATATCAAAGATGTTGCAGTCTCTCAAGGCTTCGGTGAGTTCAATTGGTTCACAGTATATTTCCACTACCTCTGCTGATTCATTGAAGCGCCTTCCACTGGCCCGTGCTGCCCGGCGTCAAGCTGTCCTCCAGCGCCGAACATTCCTTGCTCCTACAGCAGCGCTACGAGGTTCGTATACCGTCATACTTTCCGACGGATGTCTGGCTTACTCTGTCTTGTGAAGCCGACCTCGTTCAAGATCTCTACCTCAGAGAATTGAAGGGCTACAAGCCGCCTCCAGTGAAATCGTCAGACTCGGAAGGACATGTACAAAAGTTCTCGCCACCGAAAGCTCCTCAATCGCCTGAAGAAAGCGACATTGCGAATGATCTGAAGGCGTATGAGAACCAGCAGGTCGAAGTCGAGGGACAAGCAGCCGGAGGAGAAGCTTCTGCTACAGAGGAGGATTGGTTCGAGGAGGAAGAGGAGGAAGAAGCGCCTGCCGCTCATTAAGTGTATACTATTCAAGGCTCGGGCGTGCATGATTTGAAAGGCTTTCTTATACGGTTTCATTCAGCTGGGCTAAGCTCTGGCTACGTAGAGCAATACCATGAGTCGGCTGGGCCTCTGGTGCTGTTGACTCGATTTCGACATATTAGGAGTTGTGCAATTCATCAGCGCCATCTCATCTCTTCATTTGTGGGGTGAGCAGGAGTCGACCTTCTGCTGTAACTATGCCCTTTGTCCCGCATCTTATGGAAGGCGTCTCTCTAGTCAAATCTCATCACCATTACTGCTCCTCTCAAACAGCTAGCGCGCATTTCATCGATAAAATTCGAAAACGCTTCCAGGACTACAGACTAGATCATGTATGGTATACCAGTGTCACAGTTTCAGGGCATCCGCATACTCATACCGGTTCATGCATTCTGGCTTAGCGAGCCGGATAAAGTGGAGCTTCCTGTCAAAGACATCAGACTTTCCTCGAAAAAAACAGAAGCATGTACAAAATCTGATTTGAACCCTCTTCCTTTCCCTCATAATGTTCGTAAACACAATTATGATTGTATCTATGAGTACTCATACCTATGATTGTTTTTGCGACTTTCTCTGGGTCTCAGGTTGGGGAACCCCCCGCACTCGGCTTTGCATCCGTGAGATATTACGTCAAGTTACGGTCTGAGCTGCCCGTATCTGTGCCACTGCCGCATCTCAATGTACTTTTCTGCGTTTGCTGCATTGCCTGTGCTTCTTCATCCATTCTGTCTATGGTAAACTCGTCAAGATGTCAACACCAATGGAAATAGAAAACCATGACTGGCTCCCCACTGCAGGCGGGGAAGAGGGTAAATCCAAGGAGATCCCTTCCAATCTTGCTCCACCGCAAGAGGGATCTCGCCGTCGAGCCGACACTATGTCTTCTGTTAGATCTTATATGGGCCTTAAACCGGAAGCACCAATCGATGAGGAGCATGAGCATCTTGAGCATCACGAGTTGTTGTGGAGTCGGACTCGACTAGCCCTTAGAGAACCCTTTGCCGAGTTCTTTGGGACATTCATCATGGTGCTCTTTGGGGATGGCTCCGTGGCTCAAGTGCTGTTGAGCGCCAGTAATACTACCAGTACCATAGCACCAGGGGGAAATGGCTATGGGAGTTATCAGTCAATATCTTGGGGGTGAGAGTCGAATTTCATGTCGTTCGTGTTGTACAGAGATAGCTGCTAACCCATAATTTCAGATGGGGCATAGGGGTAATGCTAGGCATTTATGTTGCAGGTAAAGATCCTATTTGAAACGGGCGAGATCTCTTTTGATGAGCCTACAGGTGATTCCGGAGGTTTCTTGAATCCTGCAATCACTTTTTGCTTTTGTCTTTACCGCGGCCTCCCCTGGCGCCGGTTCCCTATTTATTTCCTTGCTCAGTTCCTAGGCGGATTCGTTGGTGCAGGGGTCATCTACGCAAATTATATTAACGCTATCAACAACTACGAAGGCCATAACATTAGGACCGTTCCACCCTCCAAGACTGCCACTGGTGAGACAACCCCACGATTGTCCAAACACTGCCGAAATATGGCTTGGCTGATATCCCATGAAGGCGGGGTGTTCTGTACATACCCTCAGGCTTTCCTAACGAAGACAAGCCAATTTTTCTCGGAATTTATTACGGCTACCATTCTTATGTTTGTCATCTTTGCCCTCAAGGATGAATCGAACCGCGGAGCGATGGGCAAGACCGGAGCTGGTCCATTCTTTCCCCTTGCCTTATTTTTCTTGATCTTTGGTCTGGGTGCATGTTTTGGCTTCGAGACCGGCTATGCCATCAATCTAGCACGTGATTTTGGCCCCCGATTGATGTCTTATGCCGTTGGTTATGGTCACGAGGTTTGGTCCGCGGGAGGATATTACTTCTGGAGTAAGTGTATTTCGGAAAGTTTCTCCCTAAAGGGTATCAAGACTTGGGTTGCTGGACACATTCTGGTGGGGTTAGAGCTGTTCCCACTTCTTCAACCCGAACATCTTTTGATTTTAAGCATGATTGCAGAAGAAATGCTGACTGCAATACTGTCGCAGTTCCCGTACGTACACTTCGTAGAAGACCTTCCTCTTTGGTACTGAAATTGAGTCGCAAGTCATGTTTAGGGAGCCAATGGACGTGCTCTGCTCCCGAGACCTGTCTTGCAACTCAATCATCTGCCTTGAAGTAGCAATGCTGATCCCGAAACGTGCGTAGATGGTCGCCTCGTTCCTCGGTTGCACGTTCGGTGGATTCCTCTACGATTTATTCATTTACACCGGACCGGAAAGCCCCATCAATACCCCGTGGATGGGGCTCAAGCAATTGACTCAGCCACAGAATTTGATCAGACAGAAAGAGAAGTCCGCCGTATAATCATCAGATGTACACTTTGTCACCACGCCGGCTGGCTAGTGTGCCGGAAAGCGTTCCCTGTCCAGCAGCAGCAACTATACCCCTGCATTCCAGATTTGGGGTAGCCTATCTGACCGAGGTGATAAGAACTTGTACACTGGGAATATTGTCTGAGCCGAGCACTGCGTTGGAGGGAACTTGGAAAACTGTACACGGGTCTGATTGTAGAGTAAGGAATTTTGTGTGTGTGTGTGTGTGTGGGGGGGGGAGGGAATTCTGGGTTCTATTTTCTACCGCAGGTTTGTCGTCAGCGGCTGTATATAAATAGTGTGATCCAGAGGTCTGGGCCGCAGTGGTGGCAGTGGTGGAGAAGCGACAAGACCGACGGAGACCGATAGAGAAGGGTAGGGTAGGGTAGGGTAGTTCATTAAATAATGATAGAGTACTTTAGAGTATTATTGGGAAAGAAGTGTAAATAGAGTAATAAGACCGAGCATAGGTAGAAGAGTGCAAGCGAACCCCACGACCGCTGCAGGAGATGCATATTAATGTATCAAGGAAGGAGATAGACGTTGGATTGGTCCGGGAGGCCAAAGGATGTCTCAATTGGCAGTTGCAAGCAATTATTATTATTGGGGACACCAATTGAAATCCAAGGCACTACTTTAGTCAAAACCTTAATTGGAAGCCATGGTCCCATGGAGCCAAGAAGATGGGCTTTGCCGAACAACCTTATATCCGCCAATTCTCCAATCGAGCCAATTTATTAGTGAAGGGACAATTTGTCTATCAAAACAAAATCTTGCTGTGCCCGCAAATACAAAATCATTAAAAATCAATAAAATGATGATAATAATAACAAGAACAATAGTTGCAGAAAGTGAGTCGTCAACATCCATCATTTCATCGTGTCATTATTCTTGGCAAACATGGAAACAGCTGACGTACCATCCAGACCTGCTCAAACAGGGGCAAAGCAGCCCTACCTGAACATATTTCCCTCTTTCTCTTTCATCCACACCATCCAAACTTTTCTTGCCTTTGCTTCATTCATGTACAAGATACAGCACTCTGCCTCGTGTGGAAACTTGCGGGCCCGCGAGGCACAGACCTATGAAGAATATCGAAATAAACAACTTTCACCATCCTGACCATCGCGTTGGATTACGGCAGCAATCCTAGAACTGGATAGGATGTCCAATGGCTCTACCCTTCCTGGCACCCTCTCGACACCCGCCCAAGCGTATCCTTCGCTTCAAGTCTCCGGCCAAGATGACACCACTGCCACAATTCCTCGGTCTGCCAGCTATACCCAGCTTCCTGCAGATGCCAAGGTAGACGCGACACCCGAGAGAAAGTCCAGTCTTTCACGAAGTTTCTCCGAGAACGTCTTGGTAAACATACAAGGGAATGTATCAAGTCAAAGCTCAGCAAAGAAGAGGTCAGAAGACGCTTCCAAGGCACGGAGGGGATCCTTGAGACGGCTAGGCTCAAGCAAACGGCAGAAGGATTCCGACACTCAATTTACTATATCTAAGTTCACCATTGGGCCTGACCCGTCTTCGGAAGACCTTGCAGAGGAATCGAAGGTTTGCAAGGACGGCACCACTCAAGGCACCGAGCGTAAGGCGCCTTCGGTCGCCGGATCGATCTCAAGCCTCGCTCGAAAGTCATGGATCAGTAAATCACGATCGCCTTCGCCCTCTCCAACCAAATCACGGCTCCGCAAGGAAACGGGGCCTGCAGCCGAATCAACACATCAAATCAATGGCTCGAGTCCTGCGGTTGATGTGAAGACATCTTCCTTGTCTGCTGCCGAAGTAAAGGATGACGCTCCAAACCTCCCTTCAAACATTCATGCTAAGCGAAGTCTGTCGCGGCGTAACAGCGTGCTCACGAGGTCAAGAAGACCGCTTAGCTCACTCTTGAGCAAAGCTTCCCCTTCCGAAATTCCTTCGGTGCCTCCCATTCCCAAGTCGTATTCAACGGACAGACTGCCATTATCCAGCAAACAGTCGACGTCGAGCAAAACTCCTACTGTCCCGAGTTCATGGTCTTCCGAACGATTGCAGGGGTTGCCAGCAGAAACGCCGCGAAGGAAGGATGAGCTCTGGAGTGTGTTTCGAACTCTTGACGGAGAATACCAAAAGTGTGTTTATTGAGAATACTGAGTCTCCAGGGTGATCTACTGACTTCGTGCCTAGATTTCAATCTCGACCGAGTACTATGAAGACCGGTATTGTTCGGTCGGTCCTTCTGCCGTTCTTGAGGAATCATGCCGAACACCCTTCAAGTTCATCATTGAGGCCAGAAGATCTTGACCGTCGTACTTTCATCCTCAACAAATGGTGGACAGGCTTGTTGGAGATGCTGAATGGCAGACATGGCGAGTCAGTCTCTGGCAACGATAGACCTGCGATTTTGGAGGCTGTCACAGCACTTATGGCCAGACCAGAGTGGACTCTCCCACTTTCTTCTATCGCCACCAGACCAACCAGGACGACTCGTACTTCATTGAAGTCTCAGTCTACAACTTCTTTGGGGTCAAATATATCGGACTTTTTGGCTGACTCTGTGCACCACAACGTGAGGAATACGTTTACACAGAACCTGCTGGCTCAGATGGCATATGTAGTTGATAAGATGTCTACTCGCAATGTAGCCGCGAGTGTTGTGACCTTCTGTGGCAAGGCTACAGCTTACGCTTTTTTCTACTGTGAAGGTATCGCCGAGATATTGGTGAGACTGTGGGCAATACCTTCAGAAACACTGCGACGCGTGCTAGCCAAGGGTAGCACACAAAAGCAGCCCGAAATAGATTCTGTATCCCACAGAGTCTGTACTGCGTATCCACAATGTCTGCATTCACTAAAATTGAAGGCTCTCCGACCCATGATGAAGTATCTGCGCAGCAAGCCCCAGTCTCCATTGCCGATTGCTACTACTCTCATTCCGTGGCACGGTCCATGGGTCAGTAGATGGGCTGGCAAAGATACCGACCTTTTCTTCGTATTCACCAAATTTTATACAGATCTAGCCTGTCGTTTCCTCCCAGACCACCCGTCTCCAGAGGAAAGAATGGCCGCGCCTGCGTGGGTTTTGGTCCAGGCACAGATCCTTACAATCTTGGATGCTACTATGCAACAAATGAATAGTCAAACTTCTATCAGCCCAGCTGGTCCGTCCGTTACTTTCGACGATTTGCTCGGAGAGGCAGACGCCAACGCCACGATGCTGCCGGTTCCCGCTCATGGCCTTGTTCGAACAATGGGTGAAAATCGCTTGATCATGCTTCTGAGGGAATGTTTATCAAGCTCAACCATCATAGCAGCCAAGTCTCGTTCCATCTTTGCACAGGCTTTCAGCAGCCTACTCGAAGTCGCCGCTCGACGGACTTCTATGTACGATCACAACGCGTGCTTTACCCTTTGCGATTTTCTTGAGGAAGCCATACTCATTTTGCTACGATACCAGCAAGAGACGGATGCTGCAATTGCCGTTGTTAACTGGTCTTTCTGGCTCGACGTATGCAGGCACATGCTGCAAAGCCAGAACAGCATGACTGAAGTCCGACTTTGTGCTTTTCTCTACAGTATGTGGTCAGCAATCACGAGTGACGAGGCTAGGAGGCGCGAGGTATGTCTCGATTGGCTCTTAGCCGAGGACACCTTTCATGCAAATTTCAACCATTGGTGTCCAATGGTCAGAGCTTTTTACATGCGGCTCATTGTTTGGAAGATCGCAAGGCTGAATGTCAGCGGGTCTGATGTCAATATGTGAGTATTGGTCAAGCGGCTGCCTTTTCTCCCGAACTAAACATATTGCAGAGCCATACTGGGGGCCTTGGACCACCGCCTGCGTCAAGTCTATCGCATCTTTCTCTACATCCAAGAGAACGCCCGAAGAAAACATCTCGCAGCTCCTTCCACGGCACCATGCAGCCCAGCTCCAGGCCGATGCCTAGAGATCGTAAGAAATGACTCACAAATGGCTCCGGGTGGCTCGTTCCTCACATTCGATGCCATCTTATCATCTGCTTCGAGTACAAAGACTAGTCCTTACCAGAGCCACAACGCACAAGAACTAGCTTCCCCCAGCAATGCAAGTCAGCCCTCCAAGGGTATTGAGGATACGAACAAGTCCCAAGACGGCGGTAAGAAACGATGGAGCCTATTCAAGAGCATCATCCCTTCCAGCTCGCCCAAGGACCGTCCGAAAACAAGCTCAGCGAAAAGCACGCTAGCTGCGTCACAAAGCTCGCCACCACCTCGTCACGGATCCGCCGAAGGTTCGGCATCAAAGACTGCGATGAATGGAACTGCAGGACCGGCACCCTCTTACCGAACACTGTCCTTCAAGATCTCCCTCGAATGGATAGATCAAGACATCAACAATCCTGCGGGTAGAGATCGACGGCTCTATCCGCCCAAGCTTCCCCTCCCAGCTCAACTCTCCCTACAGACTCGTCAATCCGAGGACACCCGGGACAACAGCCCCCTCGAGCCTTTGGGGGTGACGGCCGGACCGAGCAAGTATGCCGGGAGAGCACTTGCCGAGTGGGCTATCCTGATCACCGAATGCCAAAACTTCTTTGAGAGGCGCAAGGCTGAGGGGGTCCCTTCGTACCAGCTGGTAGAGACGCCGACACTCGGTGTTGATCCTTTCCGCAAGGTCCATGTGTGAGGAGGTGCGAGACTTGGGAACGTGAGGGAGTGCATCATTACTTTTGGAATGGCTCGTACAAGTGCTTTTTTAGGAAAGCGGAGCACGGCTTTTTTGATTCGGGCCAGTGACCCTTTTGGTTTCTCGGTTTACGCACAGCATTCTGATCGCATTTGGCCTTTTGGATATGTCACGCAGGAAATGACAGTGCGGCTGATGCATGCATGCGACGAGCAGCGTTTTCATTCTTTGGGATACCCATTGCATTATTGTTTTGCATAGACGATCACTCATTTCGGGGTTGGGGATAGCGCCGCTGGACGGCATTACTTGTGACGCACTCGTCTACGCAAAAGCCATGCCCGTGATCGAACAGCCCGTTCCCAATGATATCAACTGCCCAAGCGCCCGCTTCAAGGCAGCTAGCTGTAAGAGTACATGCCCATGTCCACCCGTATGCCAGTACAAGTCCATTCCGCTTCACGGTTCACCAGCTTTTGACCCATGCCGACGGGTCGAACATCGACCCTTTTGCACAGAGCCCAATGATGACAAGCCGGCCGATGGATTACGTGCCAACGCCTGAGCGAGCACCGAAAGGAAAGAAACCCTGGAGGAAACGCGCCGCGAAGAGGTATCGATATCCTGAGCCAACATGCCACATGCACATATGCTATGACACCCGCAATGCAAAATACCCTTTTCCCCAGGCCGTGTACGTGGATGTCGCAAGAAAAGTGTAGCGATCAAGGTGATCGGAAACCAACGCTGGCTCGCTGGCTCGCTCAGCCCCAAACAGAGGCCTGCAGGGACTTGTTGTTGGTATTGCCCCAAACGCCGCTGCCAGTGCCCCACGCCATGCCAGCGTCCTTGTTGCCGCTCGACGTCGGGTTCGAAGCCGCGGATGTGGATCGCTCGTTTCCGTTATTAGATATAGGATTGAGATTGTCATGGTTCTGCGCGAAGCCGAAGCCCAATGGAGAAGGAGAGGGGGTGGTTGAACGCTTGTTGTTGAGGCTTGGGTTGATCGCTTGGCTTTGAGAGGGACGAGTACCGATAGGTGCTACACCGCTGGGGGCTGAGCTTTTGGCTTGACGGGGAGGGGAGCCGCCGGGGGAGGAGGTGGAGGTTCGGCTCGACTGCTGGGCGGCGCTTTCGAAGAGGCTAAAGCTCTGGCTTGGAGGGTTGGATGCTGGGGAGGATGTGCTGTCGCCGCGAGAGCGTTGCTGTTGCTGAGGCTTTGGAGATGGGCCGGTTGCTGCAGCTTGTTGACTCTGATCGTTGGCGTTCAATTGGCCCCCGGCTTCAGCGATCGCAGATTGTGCCTGGTTTTGGCCCATGGTGTACGAGTCATATGTGCGAGGCGACGGTCCGCGGCCACCAGCACTTGTGTTGCCTGATGTTGGATTGGATGGACGAGGCGTGTGGCTCTCGTCGCCAAAGCTGCCGCCTTCGAGATACTGGTTGTTCTCGTTGCCGTATAGAGCACGATGCTGACGGGCGATGAGTTCCCGGCGATCCTCCTCGTTCATGGTATTGGGGCTGATTGCGCGGTCGGATTTGCCCTGCGTGGAGACATCTACCACAATATCTGATCATCAGCAAAAGCTACACTGCAGCATGGAACAATTAAGCCTACTTCTGTTGTACTGCTGCTCCTGATGATAATTGCGTAGTTCGCGCTCACGTTGCGCGGCCATGCGGCGCTTGGCTTGCAGCATCTGCTCTGCTTCATTTGGTCTTGGCTGGTGTCGCTGGTTTGCGTAGAAATTTTGAAGGTTCGAGCTAGACTGAGGGCGGATCTGATCGAAATCGCCGATAGAGTGGTGTCGCTGGGGGATTCCGCCCATACGAGGGTCTGTAACATGCGGTCAGAAAATCCGAGTCCATGGGGAATAATGCTTTACGCACCGAAATCGGAGAAGGCTCGTGGACCTCCCATCATGGGCATGGAGTCTCGTCTCGAGGGTGGGCTGAAGAGCTTTCCGCTCTTGCTGAGGTTGTCGAGGGCGCGATTGACTTCTGTAAGTACGTCAGTAACAGTCCAGAGCAAATTGTAGTCCATTTGGATGCTTGAGACTCAATTTCGCGCTTGCTAAAATAGCAGCGCACGAAGGCCCGCGCAGAATGAACAAGGTAGAATGCTCAGGGACATACCTTCTATTTGAATGTCGAATGCAGCCACATCCTCGTGTTGCAAGGCCGAACTCGTCCCTGTACATCCATGAGCTTCTGTCCGTGGACCGAGTGTTTATTCAAGAGGCCTACCTGCCCGCGAAGGAGGTGGAGGTTGCTCCCATGATGCTTGTTGTGCCGGTATTTGCCACGATTGCGCTTCGTAGTATGACATGTTGACCGTATATTGGAGCTCTGTTTTTACGAATGTCTCAGATCCGTAGGCGAGGAAGGATGGGACGGAGTGAAGACTATGAATGGAAGACAGACAGATTAGCACACGGACGATCAATGTTTCCAATTCGCTGGTTGAGCATTGATGTACATGTCTCGTTTTGCTCCCACCAACATAACGCTGGAAAGCCGTTTAAATTTTTTTTCTTCTCCTTCGGGGTCTTGGCAAACATTGATACTTACAGAAGAGAGAAGAGTCCTGGTGGTGCCTATTCCCTTCAGATACCGCACGCAGACAATAATGAGACAGGTGGCATCCAGTGCAAGAGGAAGGGAAAAAAAGAAGGAATCAAAAAAAGGTACGGAAGAGAAAAACATTTACATGAGGGAAGATTGATTTTCTGGGACCGTTAGGAAGTTAAATTGCAGCACGCTTGTCTCCGGTGGGGTTGGATTTTGCCTTTTTTACTTTTTGGCAAATTGATAGGGAGAGTAAAGTATTCAAGGGTGGGCAGGCAGAGTAGGTAGCGGTAGGGGAGGGGGGAGTACTTCATATCTTGCTCTTTCTCATTTCCTTGAAGATAGTGATATAGTGATATAACGGTTGGCTCACTTCATCACGTCATGAATTGTTGATTGCGCTCCATGGAAAGAATTGCCATGTGCTGTTTGTCCTGTGGCTGCGTGCTTAAGAGAAATGGCTGCGTGCTTGAGAGCTATCTCGAGCGTCTTATCACATACACATTCACATTCACATTCATATCCACTTAATCCCCCCCTTTTGTTAGAGTAGACCTTGGTCAAAGGGTGACCCCCCCACCACACCCGTTTCACATAAACATTCGGGCCTTACTCTAATCATAACAACACCTTATTTCCATGTGACTGTGAGCTACCCGTACTGAGTACCACGAATCTGATTCGACCACGCGGCTATGAAACGATGGAAACCGCAACATGATGACCCATATGCGCCTTGTGCATGTGCAAAGTGTGGCACGCTGGTGGCTGGAGAGATGGCCCTGCTTCAAGCTTCTACTTGGGAAGGCATCGTGCTTCCAGCCAAAGAGTCAACCCGTCAGGCATCTCCCACCAAATTTAATATTCTTGAGCGCTGCTCTCCTTAAATGTGGGTACATTCATCGTTAACAATCCGAAATAATGTATCTCGCCATGGATGTAGTTCCAACATGGCAATTGACAGGAAAGTTTCTCCTTCTCGTTGTCAGGACAAGCAACGAGTTGGGAAGCATAGAATAATCACAACCTCACAGCTGCCGTTGTCTCTGGCAACTTATCGTCGAAGAAGTTATCTTTACTTGAAAGCACAAAATAATTTGTGTGCTCCTCTCGTAAGGTAACGGGTCCGGCCACACGAGAAAAGAGTCGTGGCCGGTAGCCTTCACTGACCTTGTGTTACTTCATCGGAGTTGAGAATCCACAACTGCTGTTACTCAATGCCACTCGGTGTAGAGAGGAAGCACATCAGCGTGTAGGTGATTGCAACGAAAGCTTTAGTGAGACCAGAGCTCAGTCAAGTGTCTACTACGAACGACAGGTCTCGCGATACGATTTGCAAGATTGGATCCTGCAATTGAAGATGACGTTATCCCCCACTATAAGAGATAGAAGCCCCGCAAGCTACACATCAACTATACAACTATCAATCACCCCAAGTCGGAAACTACACCAGTCACAATCAGCCCATCAACGGTACTAGCACATCAAAAGTCACAATGGTCAAAGCAGGTACGCTTGCCTTGAGAGCCTTCCATCTACCTCACTTCATGCGTTTGAGCAAGTTTGAGCCGCTGCGCTTGTCATCCCACCAGTCATACCCTTCTAATACCATCCGTACCATCAAAACACCTGCATCACCTTCAATCTTGCATCATCTCCTATCCTCTCAAGATCTACCAACCCTTTCAACTTATTCCGCCACGTCCGGCGCGCTTTCCCCTCCCCTTTCTCACTCACTCCGCTCCTCCGCAAATCCCAGCTAACCACCATCTCCCCACGCAGTCGCAGTCCTCCGCGGTGACTCCAAGGTCGGCGGCACCGTCACCTTCGAGCAATCGTCCGAGTCCTCCCCGACGACCATCTCCTACGACATCAGCGGCCACGACGCCTCGGCCGAGCGCGGCATGCACATCCACCAATTCGGTGACAACACCAACGGCTGCACAAGCGCTGGACCCCACTGTAACTACCATCCCCCCCATCCCCCTTTTCGATCCATGAACGCCTCACTAACCTCACCCCCCTCTTTTTCCCTCCCCAGTCAACCCGTTCTCCAAAACCCACGGCGCCCCCTCCGACAGCGAACGCCACGTCGGCGACCTCGGCAACTTCAAAACCGACGGCCAGGGCAACGCCAAGGGGTCCGTCACGGACGAGCTGATCAAGCTGATCGGACCGGAGAGCGTCCTGGGCCGGACGATCGTCGTGCATGCCGGCACGGATGACCTGGGCAAGGGCGGACACGAGCAGAGTAAGGCTACGGGCAACGCGGGTGCCCGTCCCGCTTGCGGTGTCATTGGCATTGCGCAGTAGATAGGGCAGTGCGCTGAGAAGGGTGGGATGGGGGATGAGAGGTGGTGATGCATGATGCATGATGGGGGATGAGGGCTGTGTAGACGACGAGGACAAAAAGCTTCGCAAGTATGGGAAAAGGTCTTGAACGACATCTGCATTGCTTGAATATCATTTCCAACCCTGGCTACTCTCTCTCCCTCCCCCAATCCGCCCGGTTCCCCAACTGCAACCCCGAAGCCACTTCCCCATGTCGGGCTCCTAGTCCTCCGTCAAGTCCCCATACTCCCAGATACCCAGCCTCTCCCCCTTCGCCTCCTCCTCCTTCACCATCAGCCCTTCCACAATCTTCCCTCTCGCCTTCTCCCAGCCCTTCAACTTCCTCGACACCATCGCCGCCCCCTCCGCCACGACCTCCGCGTTCACGCTCGCCTCCTCCCCGCCCTCCGACTCGGCGTCGAACAGCGTGGTCCACAGCGTGCCATCCTTCTCCTCAAAGTCCACGCTGGCCACGAGCTGTTTCTCACCAGTGACCTGCTGCAGGAACTTGACCGCGTCGGCCATGTACTCTGCGCTCGTCGGGAACTGCAGGAACGATAAGGCCGCATCCAACGCTTGGGCCTTGAGTTTGCCGAGGGAGAATTGCGGTTGGCTCATCGGTCTCAACTCGCTCCACGGCAGGGTCTCGCTGTTGCCGTAGTCGAGGAAGATGACATCCGCCTTTTTGGCCTCGCGGTCATTCCGTCTGATGCGTGCACGGTACCATTCGCCGTCTTCGGAAAACCGTGCCGCTACGAGGTCGCCCGCTTTGGGTGGATTTGGGAGGGACTTCTCGGAGGAGGGAGGCGAGCGATGATAGTTAGCAAAGGTAGCCATGAGGCCCGTGAGTGCGGCGGATGTCGTTGGTCCGATGAGTTGAAGCTTTAGGTGGGCGGTTGTGGGGTCGATATGAGTGACAACGACATCACGGTAGTCTTTCTTGACCGGTGCGGAAGATTCGATGTGGCCATTGGTAGTAGCTCCATTGAGATTGGGGTCATCTACCGCGTCTTCGATAGACGGGTCGTAGTCCTTCCATAGACCCTTCTTAGCCGCTTTTGCTTTCTCTTCGGCTGCGAAGAGCTCGCTGCCATGCTCAGACTGCTCGGCAGAGTATGTGTGAACAGTAGCGAAACCTTCTTCGAGAAGGAGCTTGGCGAAGTTTTCACGGTTTATGTAAAGAGTGCCGACGAAAGCACCTATTTTGTCTGTAGCCTCGACATCAATCTCGACGTCTCGTTGAAGGCAACGTCGATTGGCAAAGTCATGAGCCTCCTGTCCGAATGGTTCGGATTTTTCGTTTGCATTGCGGGCTGAACGCGGAGCTCGAATGCCAGAGAGTACGAATGTGAGTTTGGCGTTTTCTCGAGGAACGAGTATTGTGAATCTAGAGCCGCCTTTGACGAAATCGACAATTGCTGGGATTTTCTTCTGGCGTTGGAGGACCGACGATTGAATTTTCGCTTTTTGCAGGCTTTCTGAGTAGTCTTGATACGCTTTGGCGGCAGGAGGTCTCGGGGACCACATTCCTTTCTCTCCTTTTTGGGCAGCTTCTTCTGCGGTCAGAAGCTCGTCATAAGCTGGGCTTCGATCCTCTTTATAACACGTTAGCAAACGTGTTAGGAACGCATAGCACAATGCTTACCATCGTCTCGTCGATGCCGGATCACAGAAGCATAGCCAGCTTCGACCAGCTGTAAAGCCATATTTCTATTGTTGATCATGATAGTGACTACATCTCGCTCTTCGAAGCCCTCGGTTGCGGCCTTCTGGCCATCGACGGTGACACGCACGTGTTTGCCAATCAGCTTTTTCCTCAAGAACTCTTTGGCCTCCGCTTGGAAGGGTGCTTGCTTCGCATCTGTAGGCTTCGGTTGCCGAATGCTACTTAAGCTTACTCGCTTTTCGTCCCCCGATTTGTCTCTTAAGTAGACAGTATCCGCTGTTTGTATGCGGGTAACCGTAGCGTCCGCTTCACTGGCTCCCTGCATACTGTTGGCAAGTCCTTGGAAAAGCCCAATCCTCTTGTCTTTTGCTTGCTTCTCAGCCTGCCGAAGGACAGACATTTGGCCGCCAAGCATTGTTGAATGGAAGTCGGTGCAACGTGCTAATCCAGCCTCGAGCAGAAATTTGGCGATGCTGCCGTTTGGGTGCTTCACTGTGCAGACCAGTGTGCCTTGTGGGCTCAATCCTAGAACATCGACCTGTACGGTCCTCTGTAGTAGTCTTGACTCGACAAATTCATGTGCCTCTGGACCAAAAGGTTCGGCTACTTGTTCTTTGCCATCAGATGGGTTTGTTCGCTTAGTCGCTGGTGCTCTTATACCGGCCACGAGCACCATTGTCTGGACATGCTTTTTAGAAGACAAGCATAGCCGCACAATCATTCGATCGCCAGTCAAGACACGTTCAACGATGCCCTCTATTGGCTTGTCTTTGTATTGCTCAACAAAGCCTTTCGGGTCGGCAATCTCATTGGCGTTCTCTACATTCCCTCCAGCGGACGCCCAAATCCCTTTCGAACTAGCCTTAGCGCTCGCTTCGGCAAGCTCCAGCTTCTCGAGGAGAGCCTTGGAGGCTTCAGATTCATCTTTGCGACCAGCATCCTCCCTCAGCTTCACCCATCCTTCTGCGGCTGCTGCATCAGGCAACGACTGTCCGGTCTGGAGGTAGACGGTACCGTAATCCCGCTTGGCTCCTGTTGGGATGCTATAGAGGATAGTGAATTGTATGACTTTACCTACCGTCATGCGACGGAGGTAGTCTCTGGAGTGAAATGCAAACGGCTGCAGCAAAATTCAACGGCTGCTACACCATGACACCACATTTGCCTTACCTCATCTCCTTCTCTCTTAAGCCTTGGCGCGCTGACATATGCTAGACTCAGCGTTCTCTCCTGGGCAGGATTGTTGACGCTAGCTAATATAAGAGTGTCCCCTGACAGTACACTCTTGACTTTTGCTTGGTTAATTGGCATGGCGACTTTTTAAATATATCTGTGTGTGATACCCTAAAACTTTTCTTTGAAGGATGAATGAACTCGTGTACTGTCAGTGAATTAAGTTAGCTACTGGCTTAAATATTCTAGACACTCATAGCCTTAGAGCTCTTGAAAAGGAGTGAGAACGGTTCATTAGAAGGAAGGAATTTCATCTGCAAGAAAAGTCTGGTAAACATGATGAAAAGCAAATCAAATCTTTCGATATAAAAATGTTTGGGCTAATCTAGAGAGGCACGAGACACTTTGTACCTGGTGATTAACAGTGTATTATTTGTTCATACACTTACCAGACAATTCTGTGACCAATTCAACTCTAACGCTGCTTGTATCGGAATTCTGAGCTGAGTCTATGCAAAGTTGGTGTCCAACAAAGTTTCTTTCAAAGGCAATGTTGATGCAGCACAAGAAAAATCGACGACAAAACTTGTGCGGAATTATCCGTCAGCTGTGGCGTCGCAAAGCTTTGCGACGCCACGCTGCCACAGTGATTGACATATATGCAACTTCTACCATACCGTTGCTCCTTCCCATGCCAGTCGGAGCTTCTCCCCTCCTTGGCTTCTATCCGCTTAGATGTCTAATCTGTTGACATTCTTTGATCATGGTTGACCCTAACCCATGTGCAAGATATCAGCTCTGCTTTCTTTCTGTCAGTCATCCAGTCCATAAGTGCGTGCCGTTTGTGAAGGAAGTTGGAACCAGGCCAGCTCTGAGCTCTTCCTATCAGCCTCAACCACAATAGCGAGGCTTAGTGTTGAGCAAAGCTTGAAAGTTGCAGCTTCAGACCATGGACCGGAATGCCTATTACCACGTGAATTTTCTTATCGTACTGCGGGGTAATATGGGGAGTATTACATGGTGATCGTCTCATATTTCATGCCTGCGGGCATCTGTCTCTATTGCTTACTTTAATGCTTCGGTTTCTATCCTATTCATTACGCCAGCTCATCGGCTTTGTTCCCAATTGGAAAGTTCAAGATGACCGCCATAGAATCTCCCAAACCCGACATTAACGGAGACCCTCCGCCTCGCCGCTCCCTGATTGGGACGTACCCCAATCACTGGCTCCATTCATCATCACCACCAAGCTTCGACCTGACCCGTCCTTCACCTCCCGAATATGCTCTCCCATCCCCAAAAGACTCCATCTCCCTATCAACGACCACGACACCAATTGTCATCTCACCCTCAAAAACCGCACTCGTGATAATCGACATGCAGAACTTCTTTCTCTCTTTATATCTGGGTCGACCGGCTGATGGTGCTGGGAACAATGCAAAAAAGCGATTGCTTGACACTGCAATACCAGCCGCAAGGAAGGCGGGGATACAGATCATCTGGCTCAATTGGGGTCTAACTGACGAAGACATTGAAGATATGCCGCCAAGTACACGGAGGGCGTTTGGTTTCGAGGCTACTCTTGAAGGGCAGGGCAAAAACAAGTCCCTGCCGGCCATTGACGCTCATGGTGTAAATCAGGCCGCCGCGGACCATTTTATGCAAGACAAGAACGGGGTGCTGGAGGAGAAAGAATTGACCGAGAACGGGAAGCCGAAGAGGATATACAAGGGACTAGGTAGCGAGGTCGGCCCTGTGAGCATAGAAGATGGCAAAGTTGTAGACGCGGGAAGGCTTTTGATGAGAGACACGTGGAACGCAGCATTGCCACCGGCTTTGGATGCAGCCTACAAGGAAGGACAAGGGCTGAAGGAGAAACCCGATGTGTGGATCCACAAAAATCGAATGTCTGGCCTTTGGGGTTCTTCGACGCCGTGCACAGAGTTCCTCGAGCAAGCTGGCATTAGCACATTGGTATTTGCAGGGGTCAATACCGATCAATGCGTGGCAGGAAGCCTTCAGGATGCATTTACGAAAGGGTGGGATTGTATTCTTTTAAAGGACGCGTGCGGCACGACCAGCCCAGATTCTGCAAGGGAGTGTATAGAGTTCAACAGTGCGCGGACCTGGGGCTTTGTCACGGTTTGTAATGGTCTAGAGAAGGGCGTTCAGGCGATGTTGGAAGCCCAGTAGAAGGGCGATTGCAACAGGTCAATGATCCATTAGGAAATGGATAGAACTGCAGATGATATGGGGAGTGAGACCGAAAATCATAACCCTCTGCCTGGTCACTGTCAACAATGATATATGCCTCATTTCTACAGGGGGGGTATGACGGAATTGGCTCGGCAATATAATGTTCCGGCCCCAAAGGTTGAGTCTGAATGAGACTAATGCCTCATTAGACCCCTTAATTGCATCGTCATCCCTTTGGTATTAGACCGCATTTGGATGCCCGTAGTTTATCCGAATTTTAGCTCCGCCTTGATCCGATGTCATAGTTGCCTCTCAACAACTTTTCTTTTCACGCAGCTCATCTATTAACAACGTTCACCTTCACGAACAACAAGCCTAAAAAACAATACAGAATCATGACTAGCTCCCTTGAACAGTTGAAAGCCATTGGCACCACAGTCGTTTGTGACTCGGGCGACTTTGCTACCATTGGAAAGTACAAGCCACAGGATGCTACCACAAATCCTTCCCTCATCCTCGCTGCGTCCAAAAAGTCAGAATACGCCAAGCTGATGGATATTGCCGTCGAGTACGGCAAAGATCATGTCAGTGCCTACAATTTTGAAGCACCCTGGAGATACTGATTATGGCACGCACAGGGCAAAGATTTGGACGAAAAGATCGACTCGACGCTGGACCGCCTGCTTGTCGAATTCGGAAAGGAGATTCTACAGATTGTTCCCGGAAAGGTCTCTACTGAAGTCGACGCTCGCTTCTCTTTCGACATCGAAGGCTCGATCAAAAAGGCTCTTCACATCATCCAAGTATGTACCAATCCCTGCATCTACTTTCTTGTATACTGACGTTTTTTTAGCTCTACCAAGATATTGGCATCGACAAGTCGCGTGTCCTCATCAAGCTCGCTTCGACATGGGAAGGTGTCAAGGCAGCCCATATCTTGCAATCTGAGCACGGTGTGAACTGCAACCTGACCCTCATGTTCTCTCTGCCCCAGGCCATTGCCGCAGCCGAGGCTGGTGCTTTCCTCATCTCGCCTTTCGTTGGCCGTATCTTGGACTGGTACAAGGCAGCGAACAAGAAGGATTACACACCGCAGGAGGACCCTGGCGTCAAGAGTGTTCAGCAGATCTTCAATTACTACAAGAAGTTCGGGTACAAGACCATTGTGATGGGAGCTAGCTTCAGAAACGTTGGCGAAATCACAGAGCTCGCTGGATGTGATTACCTGACTATTTCGGTTCGTCTCTTGAAAACTCGAACAAAGGCTTTGTTACTGACATGGTTGCCCACAGCCCAATTATCTAGAGGACCTCTACAACTCGAAGGAGAAGATTCCTCAGAAGCTGATTGCCGAGGATGCCCACAGCCTCGACATTCAAAAGAAGGAGTACCTCAATGATGAGGCTAAGTTCCGATTTGACTTCAACGAGGAAGCGATGGCTGTGGAGAAGCTCCGAGAGGGTATTTCAAAGTTTGCTGCTGATGCTATCACGCTCAAAGGTATCCTCAAAGAGAAAATCGAGAAAGCTTAAGGTCGTCGAAAACGTGCAGCGAGTATGTAATTAGCCTGGTCTGCTTATGAAATGAGAACACGACCTACAGCAATGGGAGAGAACCTAATACTCAATTATAACTGTGATTGGCGGTTGGCAAGCACGAAAGTCGCAGTCTTTGAAGGTCTCTTCTAACTCCTACGAGCTTGAGGTAGTAAGTGTCCCAAGCAAATCGCTTAAACATATGCCAAATCAGCCCGAGCAATTGCAGAACAGAAAATGGGTCGGACAAGGGAGTATTCTGGGGATTTGTGACACTACTCTAACAAATGTCTCTTTTGCTGGCACAACCGCTCCGACGTTTGTTGGGCTTCCAACCCACTTTCTCTTTCGGCACACCTGCCTTCAATCCATCGAGACTTCAACCCCTATCGCCCCTCTTCGGCGCCAATACCAGCTCCAAGTCCAAGGAAGGACGACAGCATAAAATCATGAGTAATCCCTTCTGGAGCTCGCTGCTTTTGTCGAATTCGCAATCTCCAACCTTACAATCTAGCTCATGGCCCTACCACTTGCAGGACTTGCAGGAAAGACCGCCATAATAACAGGCGCGGGATCAGGTACGTCTCCTGCACACGCTTCTCTACTGCTTCCAATAGCTTCAAACATTCTAAAGAATAATCTAGGAATCAACCTCTCCTTCGCCCGTGCTCTCCTCACCAAACGCTGCAATGTCGTCTTCGCAGACCTAGCCCTCCGCCCCGAAGCTCAAGAGCTTGTATCCAATCATGCCAATCGGTCGCAGTCCCCCGCCAAAGCAGTCTTCCAAAAGACAGACGTCCGAGACTGGCAACAGCTAGAGCGTATGTTTCATGTTGCAAGCAAAGAGTTTGGAGGTGCGGATATTGTCTGTCCAGGTGCTGGCGTCTATGAGCCTGTGCGTACCACTAAGCCTCTATTGGCTTTGAACTCGACAATTGACGTTCCCGTAGCCCTTCTCTAACTTCTGGCATCCACCGGGGAAACCTCCTTCCGAAGACGATCCGACATCAAACCGCTACGCCATCCTCGACATCAACCTCACCCATCCAATCCGCACAACCCAGCTCGCCATCTCCCACTTCCTCTCGTCCTCCTCCTCCTCCTCCTCTTCCAACAAAGAGAAGTCCTCTCCGAAATCAATCGTCCACATCTCCAGCATAGCAGGCCAAGTGACTCCACTCCCTGGCCCAATCTACAATGCGACAAAGCACGGCATCAACGGCTTCGTCCGCTCGCTCGCACCCCTCGACTCTCGACTCGGAATCAGAGTAACTGGCGTCGCCCCAGGCGTAATCAAGACGCCATTGTGGACCGAAGCGCCGGAGAAACTCAAGTTAATCGCTGATGACGATGCGTGGGTGACACCCGAGTTCGTAGCGGACGTTATGGTCTCGCTCGTTGAGAATCAGACTGTCCGTGTGTCGGCCGGCTTGGGCGCCACGGGGAGTCGATTGAGCAGTGGCGATGCTAGGGAGGGTACGAAAGAGGTGGCCGTCGAGGGAGGTATGATCCTGGAGGTTGCAAAGGGGAGGGTGAGGGTTGTGGAGCAGTTCAATGATGTGGGGCCTAGTGGGGAGGGCAATACCGTGGGGAATATGAGGGTTGCGGAAGAGGAGATCTTGGAGAGGCTGGCGGGTGGTGGGTGGGGTGTTGATTAGGAAGGAGGAAACACGGGGAGGTCGTCTCTTGCTTGGTAATTGGGGGAAACAGACCGTTCTAAATGGCATGGGAAGAGGGTGTGAGCCTATAAACAAGATTCGGAATGGCGAACAAGCATCTTCTCGACCTGACCATGAACCTAGGCACTGCGCTTGCGTGAATGAGTAACACAGCGAGCGTCGATGAACGTATAAGATTGCGAGAGCAAGCCTCGCTACAACCATCAAGCTTGACCAAGTACCCATCCCCCCAAGCCCATCAGGTCCCCAAACAAGCCCGATCAGACCACTCGCATCTGAGGCATCAAGCCCGTCACCATTCTGCCCAACAGCCCCAGCGGGCCACCGTCCCAGCAAAGCCCATCGCGAGGGCAGCTGTTGGGATCGTCGAAGTGGACGAGAGTCGCCGTCCGTGCTTTCGTTCCCGGACAACCACGCCATTTCGCATCGCCACAGTATGAGTGGAAGAAAGAGTGTTGCGAGAGCAGCAGCGAGGGGAGGCGGGCCGGGGGGGTTTTCCGGATCCTGGACGTTGGCTCATGTTAGGTAGGATAGATAGGGCAAGATGCTGTTGTAGGGCAGTCAGTAGACAAGGATGGCAGGAGCGGCGATGCAACCTTTTCGTGCTCCGTCTCGAGTTTGGGGGTGAGGTGCCAGGGCGGTCGGGTCAGATTGCGTCCCTTCTCCGGGCTCGGAAAGCGATGGTGTGCCGTCCTGGGTAGAGGCTATCGATAGAGGTTGAGATGATATGCTTCTCGAGACTGGAGAGCCACAAGTTCCATGCTCGAAGCACAAAATGTGTGAGGTTTGTGCTGCTAGATGTCCGGCTTGGTTGCTGTTGGTGAGTCTCCCGAGCCTTTACAGCCATGGGCTTTTGAGTGAAGTGCCTAGATGGTCCGTGAAGCTGTGTGCGTCCCAGAACCGAGGCTCGAAGCCTGAGATATCTGGACTTTGTGCTGCGAGTCGCCCTGCGTGATTGTAGTTCTAGTTGGTGGTCTTGGTCTCACGGAGGGTTTGCATGGGGGAGCAGCTTTGATGTCATAGAATTGCTATCTGGTAAAGCACACTATGGAACTAGCTAGCCTGGGTCGTAAGATGTCGTAAGCCTGGCATCTCCCAATTGTTGTGGGTGGCCAAGCTCAAAGACCATCGGCAATTGTGCTAGATAGCAGTAAGTCGTAAATAATGTCCGCGCCCAGATATGCCTCCTGTGTATGCTAGATGGTTCGAGCTAGCCATAGGTAGGTGTAGTCCCCAAAGCTCGATAGTGATCACAAACTGGCAAGAAATCGTATGCAACAATGTCTGTTCCGTAGGAAGCTTGCAGCAAAGAATTCATCATCCGCTCATGCCTGAGTTGCAACAGAAGCAATTCTCCTCTTCGTAACCTTCCCTGCCTCATACTTCTCCATGTGATCCTTGTAAAGCTCGAGATCGCCATCGTAGGCGTTCGCAGGATCGAGAGTCAGGTCTCCCATCGAGCGCATGTCTTCTGGGACCATCTCGGGCTTGACATAACGGCATGTGAGGCCGAAACGTAGCTTGTCGGTAGGTGTGACCATGTGCTATATTCGGTTAATCTCCAGTCAATATAAGCATTCAAAAAAAGACTTACTTCGTAGTAGACCTGCATAGGAGCACCATGCATCACCATGTAATCACCATGTCGGAGGTCCAACTCTAAGACCGCTGGAGGCGTCTTCGATTCTCCCTTGTCAAAAGCCAAGGCCACTTGAGCAGCCGCATCAAGCTCGGCAGTGCTCACTGTCTTCGCCAATTCGTTCAGTTTGCGGCGCTCTTCAGGTTTACGACAACCGCGCAGGATGGGCTGGTTAGGATCGTAGTGTTTACGCCCCTTATCCTTGAAACCGCACCAGTATCTCATCTTAAGGCGCCACTTCATCCTGGCTGGGCAGCCCAATGAAATCGAAGCGACCGTAGGACCGAGCGATATCTCACCATCGTCGTGATACTGCGAGCGATTAGCCAGATGATAGCACACATAGATCGGAGGTCGGAACAGGGCACGAACATTCATCTTCATGGATTCGAAGTATCCAATCGCAAGAACCTCGTTGAAGTCTACAAAATCTTCATCTGCGACGGTGCGCTTTGCAGCCCAGGTCATACGACGCACAGCCTCCTTGATACCATCAGGAGCGTCTGCAAGGCTTGTTGAGTTATCGTGTCCCACGACGTACTTATAGGGCATCCCCTATGCTAGGTGTAAGTATGAGAGCAGGAACTCGATGCAAGCTAACGACTCACGAAGTTGTGACTGAAATGCCTCGAATACGTTTGTTCCACTTTTTACTTATCAGCTATTTCAATTGTAACATGATTCGGAGAACACTTACCAACGCTCTGTTTCATTGGCAGCCTCTCGAGCCCAATATCTTCCTTCTGTAAGTGGCAGAAGAGATCGTCCGGTCCACCAGGTGCACTGTTGATGACGTTGTTGGAGTTGAGGTGGGTGATAATAAGCCCATCGCCGAGCTGGTAGACACACTCGCGGTATAAGCCATGCTTTCGTACTTCGCAATTGATACTCGGTTCCAAAACCTTGTCTTGGGCCACGCCATGACCTTGAAAGCCATAGCCAGCCTCTCCCATCACACTTGAGGCTGGAATCACGTCCATCGGAAGCTTATGCACAAATGGGCAGCCTTCAGTGCGGCACCTCCAAGCATCCCAGTGTCGTCTTAAATTGCATCGACCGCAGAGCTTACAGACAATGCCCTCCCAGCATTGTCTAGTCGCAGGGAAAGCCTGACCGTGAGTCGCATTGGGCTGGATCAGCTCGGGGTTCATTGCATATGGTGGTATAAAGCCGTCAAAAGTCTGACGCTCCTCGACAAATGCAGGATTGTAATCCTGAGCCTCAGGCGCCAGGATGTCGTTGAGCGTCCAGAATGAGACGCACTTGCCGTTAAGGCACATCCATCCTGACATAAAAACTTGCGGTTTTGTGACATTGCATTTAGGACATTCCTTACGCAAAGCCTTGATATTGGTGGGGACGTGAAACTCTGGCGAACCCTCAGCGGCATACCAACTCTTTTTGTTAAGGTCCGTTTTCTCGAACCGGAACTTGACGACGACATGACCGTTGCTCTTCTCGTCCCAGTGATCTGTGATGTGGACATCTGGGGTCACACAGTATCGGTGAGGGATCCTCGATGGGCAATGAATGTTGTTTTGCCCTGTTGAGAATCAATACCACTAAGAAAGGTTATGAGGACGGCAAGACGCACCGATAATCAGATGCATAGGTATTTTCTCCTTCTCGTTGTTGATGAAGGCTTTTATTCTCCCATTCTCCGAGTCGTGGTCTTTGATTTGGCAGATCTCGCCCAAATCGTTCTTTCCAATGCCGCCTCCCCTAGCACAGATTAGAACTATAGCCATTGAATCAAAAATGCGGCTCTCACGCTCTGGTAATCGCGACGTGCTCATCCATATATGCACGCTCACCCTGGTCCTCATCAAGCAGCATCCCAAAAACAAATCCACCATGAGTATGGCCAGCGCCCTGCCAGCAACGAAACCAAGGAAGAGCTTCGCAAAGCTCAGGACGGGTCTGAAGATGTGTTAGCTTTGACGGTTGACATCCATCGGCGAGGAAGGTTATACCTCTGCCCACACTTCAGGCTCACCCCATGGTAAGGGACGTGTGTCTTCGGCGGACGCTGCCAGGAATCTCTCCTTTGCGGTTTTGGTTTTTGGATTGCCAGCTTTGCGTTGCCTCTTGGGAGTTGGAGCGTTAACTTTCTGCTTCTTTTTCGGCGGTGGAGCAAGTGCTGTTTTGGCAGTCTTCTTTCCACCGGACGTAGCTGCTTTGCGCTTTTTTGATTTGACCAAAGCGGCGCCAAGATTGTCTTGCTTAGACCTTGAAGGTTTCTTAGAGGGACAACTGTTTCCCTCATCGTTATTCTGCTCGGCGTCAGAGTTATCGCTATTCTCATTATCTGTCCCATTGTATTCGCTGAAAGTGTCAATGTCTGGCTCATTGAGCACGGGTTTGGTCGAGATGTCAGGCTTTGTGGACGAAGACTGTGTCTCCTCAAAAGCATGATCGCCTAAGGTTTCATCACTGTCAGTGGCTCCGATAAGGGTGGGACCACTGTCAGATAATGAGACAGCTCCATCCGGCACTACTTTAACGAAGGGCAATCCTGGTTCAGATAGCATGGTTTTGCTAGGCATTGCTTGGATTGTTACCGGCAGCTCAGGATTGAATGTTGGTACTGGCATACCTTGCAAACGTTTTGATCGTCGTAAAGTGTTTCCGGATTGATCGCCACGGTCGGGGCTGGTTGCAGTCTGTGGACTCTTGGCTGGAATAATTGAAGGGTGCTTGGTCTGGCCGGTCTTTGTAGACGCAGCTTTTGCTGGATGGAGAAAGGTTGTCAGCTATTGCATACTTCAAAAGATCATACAAGGACAGAAGCATGGGTCTTGTGTAGGTTGTTGAGCGTCGAGAGTTGTGAAAGCGTAGACGGGTTGTAGACGAAGGAAGTGATGTTTGTGCGGGGTGCAAGGCCACGATCACCAGGATTCGACCCATCAACGCATCCCGTGAATTACACTCCCGATTCGTCGCAGATAATGTCACTTCAACGTGGATATAACGTAGCAGTGAGCGTCGGGTAACGTCTCTTGAACGTGGATATAACGTAGCAGTGAGCGTCAGGTAACGTCTCTTGAACGTGGATATAACGTAGCAGTGAGCGCCGGGTAACGTCTCCACTGCGAGTCTCTTGACATTGTGTCTTCTCAACCAAAAGCGCAAAAGACATATTGGACAGGGGACTATGCGGAGAAACTTACATTTTGCCATGTCGAAGGATGAGGGACTTCCCCGAACAGACGCTGACGTAGCACAAGGTAGTCTTAGGTTGCAGTTTTGAAAGAGGGTATTAGTTGGGGGCACAGGTATCTGCGGCCTTTGCGTCAAGGAACTTTTGGGAGGGGGAAGCTTTTGCAGCAGAACTTTGTGCAGGTTTCATGAATTCACAGAAGAATCGAGGCAAAGACGACTTGGAAGACGCAGGCTGGAGAAGGAGAAGGAGATATGAGGTCGGTGGTTGATGGCTGTCTTGGAGAAGATGGTTGATTTTGAGGTGCGGAGATGTAATGGAGATGTGACGGAGAGAAATTATGTGGAAAGAAAAACTGGCTTTGAATCCAATCAATGGAATGGCAGACGAGAAGCTAGCCTCCAGTAAACTGCAAGATGAAGGTTGGTAGGGAGATGTACGCCTTGAAGATAATTCTTGATGTCGAAGTTCGGAGAGGAGATGTAATGGAGAAGAATTTTAGTAGAAGAGATTTTTGGGAAGAGAAATCGGCTTTTAACTTACTCGATGGCAGAAGTGACACCGGCCGGTTTGCAATTCATCACGGAAATGTGAATTCAGTGAACTCGGCTTGACTATTTTGGGCGTAGTCGGAATGAATGGATTAGAGTTCCACAAGCTTCGACAGCTAGATTCACAACGACTGCCAATATTCATCAAACCCTGCTGGACCAAGCAGTCCTTCATCTGGGCTGGAGTCACAGATCTGTATTCATCATTAACGTTATTCATCAGGTTCAGGCAGTGGACTCATTCATCCTACGTAGCGCCAAAAAGTCCCGTTGACAGTCAACAGCATTCATCAAGCGCAGCAGATTCGGCAGTGATCTTCTTCTTCGCCATAGTGACTATTTTAGTTGCGAGTAAGACACTTCGCCACTGGCAACGTCTTCACTCAGGCTCAAAGAAGCTGGGGTATGAGGGCTCCTGCGCCCAGCCCTCACAGTCACTCTGAACAGACTTGGACAACAAGCTTCCTTGGGACGAGTTTCCTTACTCAGGTTTGGCCCTTAGACGTGAGAAAGTTCAAGGTCGGTGTCCTTACAGAAGCTTGACTAATTTGGAGGATATACTCACATACACGTCACCTAAAGCAGACCTTCGGTGTGATGCCTTTCTGGTGAACGTCTTCAGTGAAGCGCGGAAGCCAGTCAAAAAGACATCTCCATAGACAGTGCCACTAGCCAAGCTCAGAGATAGTTATTGCTGAGATAGATCAAGTTCAAAAGCACCTTCCATCGAGCTCAGCAGGACTGGTTCATATGACTGTCCTTACTTGTCATGGCTCAAGTGCCTTGAATCTCAATTAGCTCATCTCCAAGCCCGTTCTTCCTTTCGACCCTTCTTGAAGAATTCATTTCACAGTCCAAATACCTTCAAGCTTGGCAGAGTATGGGAATCAGGTGTTCTGGGTTCACACACTCTCCTCCCGCCTTCCTTTGTGTCGATCGAATCCTGACTACCTTTGGTGTGGTGGACATTGATTATCGCGCAGAGGTATGTATGCATTGGGGATGACCTTCCGCCACTGTCCAGTTCCTGTGATTGGGGTCGGCAAGTCACCATTGGATTGAGCGTCTCTAACAGCCGTTGAAGAATCGATTTTGTGCATAGGAGAGAGCTGTGAGTCGTCTCCAAGGCCTGCATCGGTGCTGCAAATAGGCCTTGCACGGTTCGAGATTCTGCGTGATACATCTCGCACAATGCCAACAGGCTCAGAGCTTTGGTCATTGAGGCTGGCAGAGAACAGCAACTCTGTTTGAGAAGGCAAAAGCCTCTAGACATTCTGTTGTTCGGATTCCAGCAGGTCGAGGGGGACAGACTGCGATAGTCCTGAGCTCAAGTGTTCCTTCGTAGTCTCTCCTCGGAGCCTTTTCCATAAGTGCTTTGAACTACTGTCTGGCGCATCACGATCGCGCAACCAAAAGCTTCTAGGGCCCCTCACTCAAGCACTGGCAACTTGGCAGCCCTTACATGGATTAGGTCACCGAAAACCCAGGCCCATAATTTTCGCTGTCAGTCTCCCAAGGGTGCGATGTGGCCACTTCTGCTTCCATGTTGCTTCCAGGCTGAAGTCGAGCGAGGAATTGGGCAGCGTATTCTGAGACGTACTGGTGCGCTCCGACGGTGCTTCCCGAAGTCCTAGAGCGAGCCCTTGGAGAAGAAGGCACCGACGTCCAGTGTTTGTGGTCGAAGAGTGCTGTCTTCCTCCCGACGAGTTGGTGCTGGCAAGCTGGTGCAATGAGCAATTGTACTTTCGAATTCTGAGGTACGTTTCCTGTTACATTGCGCCGGTCATGGGCTGTCGCTGAGGTTGCTGCAGCTGAGCTCTTGTCCGACACATTCTCAGATGCGTGAATTTGCAGGCTGTCGGCTTCTAACAGCGCCAGACTTTGGTCTTCCGCGCGAGCTCGACACCATTATTAGCCTGGGAAGTCAGCCTTTCCCTCTTGTAGACATATATATAGGTGTTGAGCCGAACAGTCTGGATGATAACGTGCAGCGACGATACAGGCGAGTATTCTAACAGGCCGGAAATCTCCTCTTCAACACCGGTTCCTGGGATCGTTGGGAAGTCTATACGCAATGACTGCGAGCTCATATCGCAGATCTCTTTATTTGAGGCAGCTCAGAGGCTTATCACGTTCGCTGGCTGGTCTTCCCACTTTGTCCGAAGACTCTTTGGGGTCCATTGCTGTTATCCCTGTGTTCCAGAAGTACTGACATGCCGGCAGCTGCCGCGCCTTGCTGGCCAAGTCGCATTGAACGGTGTTGTCGAAGGATATATGAGGGTCTTCGAAGCTTAGTCCGGAGCCTCTATACCTTGTTTTCCCAGACCATGCCCAAGAATCTACGGGTACGTTGCGACTCTTGTCGTCTCAGTAGCACTAAGGTGGGTAGTAAGGAATAGAGACTTCCGGGTATAGCCGCAAAAGATCACTTCCCCGCAAAGAATGCCTCGGTACTCTACCGGACTGGCTCCTTTAGGAGTGCTGACGCCTTTTTCGAAGTTTGCTCAGTCTTTCCCTGTCCTCTTCTCTTTCTCCTTCGTCAATCAGATCTCTTGATTACATTGGTATCTTTCTTGCGGAACCTGTAACATCATCACGATGGTTTTTCTCCCTCCTCAATGGGTTCCGGAGCTGCCTTTCGATCCACCAGATTCCATACCCATCAGTGAGTTCATGCTGAATGAGCAGTATGGTCGCTATCCTCTCCACCATGCAAGGCAACCCTTCACGTGTGGGCTGACTGGATTCGGGTACTCGGCTCTGGAGGTACGGGACCGTGTTGATCAACTAGCAAGGGCACTGTCAAAAGAGCTTGGCTGGAGGCCGAATGGAGGGACCGAGTGGGACAAAGTGATTGGAATATTTAGTGTCAACACCGTAGGGACAATCCATTTATACAAAGCGATAGTGTGGGGCAGTGGCTAATGCGCAAACGAACATAGATTGACACTCTAACGTTGTCGTGGGCTGTTCATAGCTTGTCTGGAATCGTGTCGCCAGCAAACGCAGCTTACTCGCGGGCCGAATTGGAGCATCAGCTGAAGTCGTCCGGCTCCAAAGCTTTGTTTACGTGTCTACCTCTTCTACCCCTAGCGGTTGAAGCTGCTGCAAACTCTGGAATTCCAAAGAACCGTATCTACCTGCTTGCTCTACCTAAAGAAGCTACCGGTGGTCAATCGTCCCCACCAGAGTTCAAGACTGTGGATCAGCTCATTCAAGATGGAAGAAAGCTCCCCCTATTGGAGAGGTTCCAATGGCAGAAAGGCGATGGTGCAAGGAAAACTGCTTTTCTTTGCTATTCAAGTGGTACCTCTGGTTTGCCTGTATGCATCTCTCCATGCAATAACGCAACACCTGCTGATGCTACGTAAACAGAAGGGCGTCATGATCTCCCACAGAAATGTTATATCCAACGTCCTGCAAATAGCGACGTCCGAGAAGCCCTATAGAGATTCCGTACAAGAGCCGGGCAGCAAGTATGGTATGACAGAAGTTGCGCTGGGTCTATTACCACAAAGCCATATCTATTCTTTGGTTGTTATCTGTCATGCAACCACCTATAGAGGCGATCAAGTGATCAATCTCCCGAAATTTGAGTTTAATCAGTTCCTTCATTCCATTCAAAGGTTTAAAATCAATTCACTTCCCTTGGTGAGCCAGGCTCCCTTCCACCCCACATCTCCTCTGCTTCCCGATCTACGATTGTACAGATTATCTCCATAGTTGAGGAAGCCGGATCAAGCTTGGCTGATACATGCATTCTTCATAGGTACCGCCAATCGTTATTCTTATGGCGAAGAACAAAGCGGCTTTAGATAAGTTCGACCTCAGTTCGGTCCGATCAATATTTACTGGCGCAGCACCTCTGGGTGCAGAGACGGCGGAGGAGCTGCAAACGCAGCATCCTTCTTGGAAAATCAGGCAAGGTTATGGTAGGATTTCCCCAACAGCCCTCGCCGTTCTGGGCTTATGTTTGCTTACTCTGCTTGTAGGCCTTACCGAGACAAGCACCGTAATATGCTCCACCGCAGTTCACGATATATTCCTTGGATCGTGTGGCTCGCTCATACCGTCAGTCCAAGCAAAGATTGTTTCGATCGAAGGCACGGAGATAACGGGATACGACCAGCCTGGCGAGCTTGTGGTCAAATCACCCAGCGTTGTGCTAGGATACCTCAATAATCCTCAAGCAAATAAAGAGACATTTCAAGATGGGTGGATGAGAACCGGAGACGAAGCCGTGGTGAGAAAGAGTCCCCAGGGAAACGAGCATATCTTCATCGTGGATCGAATCAAGGAGTTGATCAAAGTCAAAGTATGAGGCCTGCGAGATGATGTGGTTGAAGAACTGGCTAACACCGTCTTTAAGGGCTTACAAGTTGCGCCTGCTGAGCTCGAAGCTCATCTTCTGACGCACCCTGCTGTTAGCGACGCAGCCGTCATTCCCGTCCCTGACGAGGCCGCCGGTG